CATTTTTTCAGATAGATTGAAACTTGAAAGCAACTAGTGAAGTGCAAAAGTAATCTGCAACCATTTGCTGTCACACTGTCGCCCTGGGTAGCTGACTGAGTCCGGGTTGTATCATCTTTCACTATTCTTAGCCACACAATGGAGGAATATAGGAGAGCCACACATGCATCATTGGATTGGTTTTTCAGGGAACATCTTCACTGGACCCCATGTTTTTTTTTGTTTAACCATCAAATATAGAGGTTTCCTGCAAGATTTTCCTTACACCAATCCAATGAATGCGGAGCCAGGCCCTCCAGGCACGGGCAAAAGCACCACCGCCGCACATCTGATTTGTCAGCTGCTGCGACGACAGCGCTGGGGGGCTGCGGTTGGGACCTTGGTGGCTGTTGTTTTTTTTTCGTGATGAGATTTGGGATGAAAGTGATGACATTGATGATGGGTTATGGCTGTTGAAATGTGCCACTTGGCCGTTTGCCAAGGTGAAGCCGTTGATGGTATGTTGTCCTTCAAACAAAGCTTGCCACTGGACGGGACCTCATCGAACCCAGAGCATGACATGACTAGGTCAATCTTAGATGGGTAGAAACTAATCCTTTAGTCTTTTGGTATCAATGGGATGATCTACTAACCAGCTAAGAATTTAATTTTTTGCAGGGTATCTTGGCCATGATGAGATGATTAAAGCACTGCTGTTGGGTGCCGGGGCGCATCTCTCATCTTGAGATGTGGGATGTTAGCATCCACGACAGCATATTTCCAGGATGGGAAGACAATCCGCCCTGGATGATAGGAAATTAGTAGACCGATTTGCGAATCCGTATTGCAAGGACTTCCATTGATTTTTTTTGCATTTTGCTAGATGCTTTTGAATCGTGATAACCTCAACATTGTCATTTTTTCAGGGTCATTCCACATTCAGTCGATTCATCTTTAGTTCCTACTATCTCACCCCCTCTCGATTTTTGGTGCAATCCAAAGTTTTGTTGTCTATGTCCCGAAATGTCCCCAGTATCCCAATGAATGCAGAGACTTGCCGTCAACTATACTTGGGGGTGCATCCCCGTTAGTCCGTGGTGAATAACATATAGATTACTCGGGCATTTTCCACACATATATATATATATTACATAATACATATACAACTGGGTTATCAATGGTTGTGATATACTTGTTACCTATTTAGTAACAGGGATGCACATCCAATCAACGACAGCTGTGTGCAGCGGCCTTCAGCAAGGTGATCGATTACTTCACCTCTTTTTGAAGGCTGAGATGTCTCGTAATATATGGAGACCCGGCTTCGAAAGCTTCATCTGTTGAAGCTATCCAAACGCCACTTTTTTTTTGTGTTAGACATAGGCCATAGGAGTATTCTGGGGCTTGTATAGATACGCACCATTCTTTTTAGTCCTTGCTGTTTAGATGTCGGATGGAGCATAGATGCAAGGTTGAAGCTGTAGCAAGCAGAGGATCAGCAAAGCTCTGGGGTTCATCACGCAGGATTTCCAGGTATGAGAGCAGCATGTATATATATATATACATATACATATATACATATATATATATACATATATATATACACATACAATTATATACATATATTATACATATGCATATTCAGAGCCAGAGCTTCAAGCTTTTGGGCGCACAACATTCAGTTTCCACATATCAACTCCAACTTAGCCACCATGGAGGAATTCACTGTATATATATATATATACATATATATATATATATATACATATATATATATATATACACACATATATATATATACATATATATACATATATATATACATATATATATCTATCTGGGATGTAGCCAACGACAGATTTCTGGCATACAATGATAGCGGTCATCTAAAAGCCACGCTTTTTTTGCCATGCAGTGCTTAGCCGCTGAGGGTCGTTCGAGTTTATGCTAAGACCATCGAGCAGAATTATTGGCGAGACCCTCGTTCACAGTCCAGTGGCAGAGATTGAGCCGTTGGGCCGTTGGGGCTGGGAGACGGAAACCCACCAAGGCTCAAGAAGCCAACTGATAGCTGCGGGTTAAAGCCAGCATTGCTGGAGGTTCTTCTACTTTCAGTGTTAGACAAGGGTGGGTTGGGCTCCCAATTGCGTTTTGTTGCGTGGCACTCACTGGCAGTCACACCTTGCTGCCCGAACAGATGACACCCACTGGCTCCAAATTAAGTCCATTGGTGATCCTTATGTTGGATCATGGTGTCTTGTTTGCAGGGTGTACAAACATCCCCGTTGCGGTCCATTGATCATGGCAAGCGAAAACACCTCAGCTTCGGTGAACTCGGCGAACTGCTTCGACACGTGGTTCTCACGTGTTCTCACCAGGTGTTGTCGCGACTACGAGATAGATCCTGACCTCTTGCAGTATGCTTTGCAACTTGGGAAAGGTGAGATCTGGAGGGTCTATCTATACACACGTATTGGTTAACTGGGCAAGAGATGGCAAGAGTGCAAACCTGGTAATTCGCTGATCAATAGAATCTCAAGCTTCATGATTTTAGATTTGAGGGAAGGAATGGATGTTGTCGTGTCCAATTGAAAGGCTCCCTTCTGTTCAACCATTGGGGGAGATGATGGGACCTCTTCTTATGCCATGCCGATGTCTTGATGTTTTTTCAAAGAATGACCAATCTATCGGCTAATATCATGATCACAAAATATCATTGGTGGATGGTCATCGGGGTGATCTAGGACCTACTAGACAATGATGGAGGTCTTACTGAAAGAGATTGATTAGTCTAATATGTAAAGTTCCTTAGTGTTTGTTAGTTTGGTGTTTTGGGAACACCAATTAAGTTGACTGCAGCCATTCTTTTAATCATACCAAGCTTTTTAAGTGCTGCTTTGTGTGGTAGCCACGTCTTTCAAAGATCCAATAGGCCATGATTTCAGGGTACAACTCTGAGTCACCAAGGCATCAACAGGTAGAAGATCAAGACCCTAGCATCAAGAATCAATATCTGGACAGAGCCTGGGGTGTGATGGTGGGGATGATGGGAAAAGCTACGCGCTTCCAGCATCTTCCAGCATCTTCCAGCGACAGATAGCACGGCTTGAGATGGCTTTTCATCCTGGATGATCCGTTGTCTATTCCCCAAATTGTTCATAAAGCATGAAGGACAACCTCCAAAGGGATCCATGGCGTGAGCAAGTCTGACCCGCGGTCGGGAGAGTTTCTCCTCCCTTTCCGATCCATTGTTGGTGATTTTGTTGGAATTTGAATGATGATCCCCAATTGACCCACAGATTTTTCAACGGGGTTGCTTAAACCCAAACCACTTCATGATTGTATCTGGGTGAGTGCTGATGGACAAAACACTGAAACCTCCATAGAGGTCCTGCTTTGTCTGTCCAAAATTTCCGCCATCCCTGATTTGCGATTTGCAGGATGTAGCACAACAACTTGAAGATCATTGATGCTCGGCAGGAAGAGTGGCCCAGATTTTATTTTTTCTACTTGATAAACATCTTGGAGTGGATCATGTATATGTATATGTACATACATGTGATTATATGTAGGGGGAACAATTTTGATCCATATAATTCCATATCCACATTACATATATATATATGTATGTATATATATATTTCAATATATATATATATATGTGACTATTATGCGTGTAAGCGGATATCCAGGGGACCTCCACCATTTGTAGGATTTGTAGGCCCATTCTATGCCTTCCATCTTTTCAGATCTGGAATTTCTCTGGGAGCCAGGTACTAAGCCAGGTGAGTTATTGACACTTCAAAAGACTTTGAATGAGGCCGGTGGTCGAGGTTCCATGCCATGCCATGGCGACATCGCCAAAAGTTGGGCATCACAGAAATATTGGGATGGGTCTCACTATTTCCATTCTATTGCCAGATTTATAGATAAAATCAGTGGAAAGTGGTAGATTTATCTAGGTGAACCACTCATTTCTCCCGATTTAGAACAATAGTGCCATCCGACAGGCAAAACAGTTGAAAGAGTCTAAGTCCAAAGAGATTCTGAAGCAGGAGCGAGACCGGCACTGGGGCTGAAGAAAACAGCCCAAGAAAATGAGTTGGTGAATATCCAGGGAAAACCATCAGTTGTATGGACTTAGACTCTTAACATCTTTTAACATCAGTTTTTGTGTTTGGGGATTCTGAAACCTTCCATGTACCTACCAACATTGACCCCCCGGAATGGCCCATGACGGTATGATCTTGGGGGGGAATGACTATCCAGCCACGAGATATTTTTTTGGCTTCACGAGGGTACCAGGGTTTTGACCCATAGCTATGTCTTCAGATGGCCATCAGCAAAAAACTCACGTCGCTATCCAGCTTAGAAAGCATTACATAGTTGCAATAGTCAGGCCAGGCAATTATCATCCTGATAGCAACCAATCCCCAAGTCAATATGGATCAGGAGCGGATTCCCGCAAATTATTGGGTTATAATAACTATGACCATGCTTATCAAACAGTTATCATCATTATCTCCAGTACATATTAATGATTCATTGGTAATTATATGACAGTTTTGGATGTGATCGTGTGATCCCGGTTTTTCCGATGGTTCACACAGCTTGTACTTCACCAGTTCTCCAGGCACAGGTGATTTTTACCACCTGCGACTGCGCCTGCAACGATCGCCTCTTTCAAAGGATGAGCTTTCCATCCGTAGCACCTTGGAGTCACAGGATTTGACCGGGTTTGAACGGGTTCAGCGGAAAAAACCCATGGCTCTGCCGTTTTTTTGGCGTGTAGGAGGCTAAGGGTTCCTGGAGCTAGTGAGACAAAACTGCCATAAGTGATTTGTTCGAGGTGATTTTGCCTGGTATCCAGGCCCTTAGACGTTCAGAGGTAGCTCAAGTACTGCACCTAGGGTCGCCCTGAGATGTTCAGCCCCTTTGGAATAGGGGCAGAATCCTCGATTCGGGGTGCCTCATTGTTCTTCGCAATGGAGTATCACTTGGCAGTGGTAGTCTCTTCGATGGTAGGTTGCAGCCTCTCAAATTTTGGGATACAACAATCACCAGTTTATAATTTATACTGGTTGGTGGTTTGGAACATTTGGATTATTTTTCCATATATAGGGAATGTCATCATCCCAACTGACTTTCAGTCCATGATTTTTCAGAGGGGTTGGCGAAAAACCACCAATCAGATGTCATTAAAATTCCCATTAGATCCTATTAAACCACCATAAAATCCCATTAAGCCACCATAAAATGCCATCCTTTGCCCACTTGCCCTCTGGTTCTGATGCTACACAGCTATGGAAGCCATGGCCCATGGCTAGTTCCATGATTCTCCCGAATTTAGTTCGGGGATGTCCCAGCCATTGTAAACCCGGAGGGTAAACAAAACCATGTTTCATAACTAATCCCATTATTGTTATACATATATATATGGTTGTATAGGGTATATCCCATGTATATCCCATGTTTCATTGTATAATATTCGATGAATGAATATGCCACTAAATTATACCCAGTTCCCTTTTTTAGTTCCAAGGGTTGTAGGTTATTCACCAGCCTTGGGAACCCGAGCCGCGTGTCCGACTCACTCCGTTACTCCGTTCTGAGATCATCGATGAGGCCGCACAGGCTCTCGAGTCACTTGGCCTTGGGTCGGGAGCAACACTGGTTGGAAGATCCTGATGATCCAAAGTTAAGCCTATCTGCCTATCTATCGAATGGTCAACCCAATGATAAACCATCCACAAGTCATCACCATTTTTGTGGGTGATATTTAGAGCATCCCCAAATGATAGGATTATTATTAAATAATTGGGTTTACCACATTAATGGCTATGAGCAATAGTGGCAATATAGAATAAAAAAAGATTGGTCATATTGGCCAATTACTACTTGAAGGATCATCTAATGGCCATTTTTTAGGGGAATATTTTTCTTAGATCGTCCCATTCAGTGATTAGTAACCCAGTTATTTTTATGGGATAAGTCATGAATAGGGGACTGGACTTGTCCCATCACCAGGCTTACGATCACCACTGATCAGATTCGTGGGATGATCCTCCAAGTACTCTCTGGTAAGTTAACACGGCTGTACCTGGAAAAGATTGGACATTTTTCCAGAAAGCCTGGTGAAATTGAACAGGAGCTTTTTCGTGGTTTTGAGTAGCATGTAGGTATCAGGTAATCACATTCGTGGCATCTAAATCTAGATCCTTAGCAGCCTTAGCAAAGGTTTACTAATTAGCCATTTCACCAGTATGTGTAAGTGGTATCGCTTTGAGAACTCCTCAAAAAAGGTGCTCGAGTGTGGTAAACTCCATCTCAATCTTTGAAGGATAACTGGGTCTATTGTTGAGTGTAGCACTTTATATCGGTCCAGTCATCCAACTGTTGTTTGGGATTCAGCATATATATATATATATTGGATATATGAAGCCTCATAGATTGGGGCATGACCTTTTCTTGCTGATGGTATCTTGTAGTTTTACCTGGATGACCATCCCAGTTTGTATCGGATTTTTTGTCAATGAACAGTCAGACTTTGTGGCTGTTGATCACCGGGGCAATGGCGGGCTGTTTGGCGGGCAGGATCTATGGCATCAATCCTAAACCGTTAAACCTCTCCCCAATTTTTACGGATTTCGTTTCAAACTCATCCAATAGTAAACACATCTTTTTTCCAACTCCTACAGATTATCCCAGTAGTCAACCCAACTATATATATACACACACTTATGTAACTACCCCTAATAGTAAACCCAATTCATTTGTTTGGTATCTCCAAGTTTTCACATCTCCAAAACTCCGACAAGCGGCCTGAGGCCTGAGCTGGCCCGCTGCTGCCTGCTGGCAGAAGATCATTTGGCTCTTTTCGGCGACCATGAACAGTTGGGGCCCGTGCCTAGACCGGCGTAAAGTTTTCCGGGTGGCTTCGTTGAGACATGGAAGGGGTTGATGTAAAACCATTTTCTCCTGAAAACAGATGCTTGTTTTGGACCAACGGGGTCAGTTGCCCAGCTTTAAAAAGGGGCAGTTGCAGTGGTTGAGATTGGCTGCACTCCTGCACCAGGGGAAATTTTAAGGGTTGCAACCAGCAAGAGCAGGGATCAAGTGCAACAAAAAAAGCCACATGGGATGCCCGAAATGTGCAGGGAACTGACCTTAGCTCGAAATTGCAGGGTTTATTTCAGTCAAGTTATGATGTACAGATGCTTTTTTGGGGAGATTAGTCCCCAGCTGCCCATGGGAAAGGTGAGAATTCGGTGAGTTTTTTTTCCCATGGCGCGCTGAGGTCCTAACCGAACAGACCCTCTTTCCGGCGTTTAAAAATATGTGGACTCGATGCCTGGCAAATTTCTGGGCATATGTCCAAACCAGGGTATTCACAAAGCTAAATGGGTTCCTACTAAGATTAGACCTTGGGATAGTGGATGTGGGGTTTCAACATGTTTCCATGGAATTCGGGACACGACCCTGTTGGGCCCTATCGCCCAGACGGGGGTTAACGCAAGCACCACAAGGGGATGATGCCTGCAACAAGGGGTTTGCACACACCAGATATAGACACACACACATATATATATATATATATCTGTGTGTGTGTGTATACGTGTATATATGTATATACACATATATATGTATGTATGTATGTATGTATGTATGTATGTATGTATGTATGTATGTATGTATGTATGTATGTATGTATGTATGTATGTATGTATGTATGTATGTATGTATGTATGTATGTATGTATGTATGTATGTATGTATGTATGTATGTATGTATGTATGTATGTATGTATGTATGTATGTATGTATGTATGTATGTATGTATGTATGTATGTATGTATGTATGTATGTATGTATGTATGTATGTATGTATGTGTATGTCTGTATGTTATGTATGTATGTATGTATGTATGTATGTATGTATGTATGTATGTATGTATGTATGTATGTATGTATGTATGTATGTATGTATGTATGTATGTATGCATGTACAGACTATATATTATACATATATATATGTATGTACAGACTCTCGCTCTCTCTCTCTATATATATATGTACGTACAGACTATATATATATGTATACATGACATAAGCAATCACTAATTGTGGTTGGAAGACGTTGCCCACCATTTGCTGGTTTAAATCCCATCAATATCCAATCTTGCTTTATATTCGCTATATGCTGGATGAATCCCCGCAGCTGGATGATCCCCGCCGCTTTTATATAATTGTCATCCATTTCTGGATGTGAGCTCCATGAAAGAAAAACTCGCTTTTCCATTAGTGCCATGGCTTTTTCCGCTTTGAAAGACAGGGATGTTCCATGTGTTAGATGCTTTTCCAAAGGTATTTGCAAGGTGGGAATCGCAGATCTCCATCTCAAGGTTTTTCTGCTCAGGATCCCTCTTCGAGCGCATAGTTTCGAAACGACCCGGGCGCGGTCAATCGAACAGCCTGACGACTGGTATTCCACACGTGGCTGGGTTGGAATCACACTGCAAATATCGGCTGGTTGAAGCAGCAACAAAAACTATCTGGGGATTATTTACACATACCAATTGATACTGACTATATATACACAACCAAGGAAATAAGTGCACAGATCATTAGCGGTTCGCCCACAGAAACGAGGATGACAACCAGCAAAAAATGGGAACTGAAGCGGGAAAAAAATTGGATTTTAACCACTAAATCCCTTCTCCTAATATTCCCACCCTTGAAATTCTGGTGTAGTCTTGGATCTATTCATTTTCAGGGCACATACTGTACAGGGGTATTTCATATTCTGTGGACGGGGATCAAACCATGATATTTGTAGAGGAAATGGAGGACATTCTCTCGACACCCCTTCCCTGGCCCAAGGTGACATTGAAGCGACAATATCGGATGCATCCGTCCATCAGTTGCTTTGCCAACGAGGAGTTTTATCAATGCCAGCCCCCAGGTCGCACAAAAATATTGGGGGACAAAGTGCTGGTGCAACACGTCACTTTCTTGTGTTTCTCGAGGTACTGAAACATGGTTTCATTAAAGTCTATGAAGTGTTTTTTTTTGAAAGACAAAATATGTCACTACGGCATCTGCGGGTATACACCATCACTTACGTCTATCCCTGAATTGTTTTATGATAAACTTCAGAGGAAAACAAGATTTTTGGAAAGTAACATCATAGGTCTCTGGTCAAACATCCTACCAAACCCAGTGAGTCATAAGCCAACATAATCCAACATATCACCACATGACCTGGGAATCCTGCAATCCTCAAAGCACCAGTGCAAACCCACTTGCAGTCTGACAACAAATGGCCGTCTGTTCCCAGGTTGGTGGATGATGAAGAGGCCTGTCGCGATGGCTTTACTTTGCCATCCGAATTTAATTCGCGGATGTCTGTCATCGACGTTACAGGAGCTTCGGAGGGAAGTTTGCTTGCTCTGGGTAAAAAACAAGGAATCCTTCCGTTCTTTTTTGCACCACTGCAGCTAGTAGTTTTGTATGTTCATAGACCCTGATATGGTTTTGCAGGTTCCAAACAAACAAATGCCCAAGTGTTTAATCGCCATAGATCCACAATGATCCACATTTGTGGGAGAACGTTGGTCATTTTGCCGCCTGAACTTTTTGGGCTGTATCTAAGTGGAACCAATGTTTGCACGGCACAAGGACCCTTACAAGGCGGTTGCTCCCAGTTATGTTTCTTGGCAACCCCCAGCAGCTAGTTCGGTATATCTACTGTACTTGTACCATAAACCCTAGTTACTGTTATAATATCTTATACTCAACCATAGTTTAAGTTAGTCATAAGCCAAATCAGCCAACTGTGGGGGACCAGCTTGTAGCAGTAACAATGATGCCGCTGCATCCCCAGTTTCTAGGCAAACTCGCCAAGAGGTTTTGGTTCGGGGTTCTGTGGCCACGACATAGCTAGCAGATGGGCCGCAAGGACCCCATGGCCGGAAGAGTGTGGCGCCCGAAGGCGATGCTGTGCAGGACTTTGAGACGAGTTTGTGCAACCCCTCCGAGGAGGGCGCGGTTGGGGGTGAACAGTCAGAAACCACCTGGGAGGGGGGAAGACTGGGTTGGAAGGTTTGGAACTCTTGTTTCTTCTCGGACATTGGTTGGTTTCTGAGGATGGAAACTTGGAAAAGTGGTACATTGGCAAAGGAAGCGTTCAACAATGGAAACATAGGAATGGCGGGATTGCAAACCACATTTTACAGTATATAATTCATATTCTGGGATGCCATCGTACTCGTATGCTGAGTCTCTTGGGGAAGTTGATACGTTTTTTCCATGCTTTTCCTGCACGTCTGGTCGAGCTTGGCCACAAAAGTCACTGTTGGCCAGGGGTATGGTAATGCGTGCAAAAGAAAGGATCACCACTGCGTAACCACTGCCGACAGATACAGAAGGAGGCAAGAACTATCGCCTCTTTCTCACAGAATCTGGCAGACAAAAAGCTTTTTATGGCTCCTAGCTTGAGAGTCGTAATCTTTCTCGTTCAAATCGCCATGCTGGCGTATTCCGAATTTTACTAAACTGTCCAGGGCGTGCCAAGGCTCCTCTGATCACATCAGGTCCCTTAGTTTTTCAGTTCTGGAACCCCAGAAACAACCATAAATAGCCGTGGTTGTCGTGTAGGTTTTTCTTTTGGCTCTACTTTTGGCTCTACCACATCGACATGGCTAATTTCAACAGGGACACAAAAAGTCACTTACATCTTGGAAACAGAAACATGAAAAGTGTGGGATATCTTGTGGGAAAAAAAAGCTAAAATCCATTACGCTAACTTAGTCCCTGGTGTGGCAGTACCTTCACAGGCGGCCGTGGTGAAAGCTTACGTCACGTGGCTCGTGGCTTTGGGTGTGAGCGTCGGGGAGATCGGGGTGGTGACTCCCTACCGTGCTCAAGCAGCCTTGAGCCTCGGTGTGAGGCGATTTCAGCCATGGAGTGTGTCAACAAATGGTGGCTATACCCACTACCCTCTGGTAAACTAACATAGCTATTGAAAATGGCCATTTATAGTGAGTTTTCCCATTAAAGTTGGTGATTTTCCATAGTTATGTTAAATTACCAGAGGGTAAAAATAGTGATTCTAATAAGGAACACTCGAGGTTTTAAGATGTTCTCATCCATTGGAGTTTTGGGGAAGCCTAGTTTCTGACAAACCCATATTGTGGGTCACAATCATAAGCATGCAATAAAATAAAACATAACCCCCTGTAGTACCATTCAACAGTGGTAAATTATTCATGGTTCATTGGGGTTGGTCCAATCATGGGCGATACACCAACATGTCAAGTGAGGGAAAATTACCCTCTGGTAATGACTAACATAGCTACTAGTATTGAAAATGGTGATTTATAGTGGATTTACCCATTGAAAATGGTGATTTTCCATAGCTATGTTAGTTTACCAGAGGGTATGATCAACCATCAGATTTTGGGGGACCGCATTTTCAGACAACCCCGTCGTGGACGGGAGGTACCGTCAGGTATGACCCGGTATGACCGAAATATACCAAGATGTTGGACTGCTGGATTTTTGATCCTCTGTGCTTGGGCAATTGGGCAATGGTGACCCAAAGCCAGCAAAATCAACCACACTGTTTTGACTTTTGCCAACACATGTTCTGAAGAACAAGTTTCTGGAGTCTTATGACCCTTTCTTAGCCTGACACTACTTTCTTTGCAAGTCATTTGTAGTTTTTCTGGGGGCTTCGAGTATCGATCAAACCAAGGATTAAAGAAGTCCTCACTGAGGCCTAATTTCGGGTGGCCCGTGGGCGGGGGTTTCTCTGTGTTTCTCCCTCGGTATCTATACATATGTATACTGTATACGTACGTAAACATGTATAATTATGTATACAGATATATAAATCTACAATGATTTCAATACATTATGATTTTATACTATATGATGGATGTGTACATGTATATACTTATAACTCATAACACATTTTATTTATCCTGTACATTCACATTGATAAGAACCTTGGTGAGTCAAATTTTCGTGTTCCTTGGTGAACATGGCAACCATAGATGGGCATTTGCGCAGCAAAAAGAATGCTGGGGATTTACTCAGAACTTCTTTGTTGAGCTGGAGGCCACAAGAGTCACCAAGCTCTTGCTGAAGTTTTGATGATCAAGTCTGGTGGCTTCAAATGGGTGTGTCTGAACATATAGACCCCAAGAATTTATGAACTAATAGCATGTAATAGCCGTCAGAGTTTTCCCCAGAATTTTCAGATAACACCATTTCATCCCCACCTATCGATCTCTTTCGATAGCGCCATTTTTTACAGGCACTTTCCAACGAGGAGCTTCCCACCATTGGCACCGTGCACCTCTTGCAGGGGGAAGAGCGTCAATATGTGCCGTCATCGCAAATGCAGCGAGTCGATGGGTTTGGGGCCGCACTGGTGCGTTTTACGCAGGGAATTTTCGGGAATGATCCATTTCATCACTAGTAATTTCATCATCCCAGCAACCCCCAGCAACCCTACGTTTAGCACCAGGATGTAAGCTGCAACATGACCAGCTGTAAGGATTTCCCACCCGAGCAGTGGCTGCGATCTACAAAGCCCTGCTTGATGATGATTGGGGGATTGTACAAAATCCATTGTGATTGGGATTTAAATTTATATATCATTCAGGATGATATGTTGACATTTTTTGCCATCACTTAAGAATTTCTTCATCTGTTGGCAAAGTTACCCCATGGCTCCCCAATGTCCTCAGGTGATTCTCTCGCTGGTTCGCAGCTTTGCAGAGGCAGACACAGAGGTGCACCGCAGCTTTTTGTGGGGGCCCCTTGGTGCTGAAATAACTCCAAGAACAATGGCTTTTGATACTTATAACCCGGAAAATGCATGAAAATGCCTGGCACAGCTTCCAAGGTTTGTGCCATGTTGAAGATTTTTTTTTTTAAATAGGGTCTATAAACTATGGGATCTATAAACCAACATTGTAACAAGTAATGCACTCTGTGCTTTTTTTGGACTGGTTTGGTGGCCACATTTTGGGTTGACTCCCTACTTTTGCTGCGTAAATCCTCATGTTTGCTACCTAAATCGCATTAATCACCACATTTCTTGGCAAAGAACACGTTTTTTTCCACCAGTCTCTTTCATACTTCCACCTTTTGTGCCACCCATTTTGGGCACCAGCACGTTCGTGGTTCATCGTGGTTCCACACTTCCGGTGACTTTCGCTTCGCCCTGCCACGGCGCAGGTCTTTGATCCTGTGCCGCAGGACGCACGGCGGCGGAAGGTCTATAGCCTGGGATTTCTGAATGACAGGCGTGGCATATGAGTTGGGATTAAGTTGGATTAAGTGGATGAAATTGCCACTATTGTGGACTTATTAGACATTATAGACCACCCTTCAAGTCTAATGGAATTATTGTAAATCATACCCCCAACTATGTAGAGGTATAGCCAATGATCGAAGGAATTTTAGTTAGAAAATTTTCTAGATATGGACGATGGTCATGGTTAGCATTCACACCATCATGTCAACCACATCATGATGTTAACCACCCATCATCAAGTAGTTGGGAAGTGTAACAGGTCGGAGGCGTGTGAATTCACGGGTGGAAATAATCTCGGGCGCGAAACCCTGTGTTTTACGGGTATAGTGCCTCCCGGGGTTGCCGAAGTAGGGTTTCTGTTTCCGCAGTTGTGGGCCTCGATCTGGCAAAGTTGTCGACAAAAAGTGCACAAGACTGCAGCGGGAGCTGGATTTACAGTTCAAAAGGCTCAAAGACTGCTGCTCGGAACTTTTAGAAGATGAGGTCGGCAAAACGTGCACGAGACTGTAGCGAGAGCTTGATTTCACAAAAAAGCATTAAAAAACTGAGGGCGGCGGAGCAGCCTAAAAAAGTCCGCACCGTTGACGCTGCGCGAGCGTTGGTCGATTTAATGCGATGCTCCTACTATGTGGGTTTGCAACCGAATGCGGCGAAATGCATTGGCACGGCTGCGCGGGAACACAATGCTGCGACGCTCCTGGTATGTGAAATTGCAGCTGGAGGTTGCTAAACGTATTGTAACGGTTGCGCGAAAGGTAGTTTCTGACCATAGTGCGGCTATTGTGCTGTGCGAGATTGCAGCTGGAGGTTGCTTAATGCAGTGTGCTGGCCGCGCGAGGAGAAGAATTGGGTTGCAGAGGCTTTAGAAGAGCTGGCTGGGAGGCAGCTCAGAGCAGAAGCGGGTCAGAGAAGAAGTAGCCTATGTAAAGGCTGCTCGGAGAAGTAGCTGATAGAAGAGGTGCATCAGCAAAGAGGTCGCTCAGTGAAGAAGTAGCTCAATGAAGAAGTCTCACTCATCCATCCATCCACCCATTCATCCATCCACACATCCATTCAGTAGTTCATTCATTGATTCAGTAAGTCAGTGATCTATTGCTTCATTGCTTCGCTGATTCAGTGATTCATTGCTTTGTTGCTGCACTGATTGATTGATTCATTGATGCATTGGTTCATTGATTCACTGATTCATTGACTCACTGATTCGTGAATTCATTGATCCATGTGGTTCATTGATTCACTGATTCATTGCTTCGTTGCTTCGTTGATTCGCTGATTCATTGGTTCACTGATTCAACGATTCGTGGATTCATTTCTTCATTCAGTCACTGATTTGTTGATTTGCTGATTCAAAAATTCACTGGTCCATTGACTCATCGAGTCTTAATTCACTCATTGCTTGATTCCTTGATTCATTGAGTCATTGCTTCGTTGCTTCATGGACTCACTGATTGGTTGAGTAACTGATTCATTGCTTCGTTGCTTCACTGATTCAATGATTCATCGATTCCTCGATTCGCTAATTCGCTCATTCCTTGATTCATTGACTCACTGGTTCATTGAATCATGCTTTGTTGCTTCAAAAGTCACTGATTCATTGCTTGATTGATTCATTGCCTCGTTGTTTCACTGATGCGCTGATTCATTGAGGCATTGATTCTTTGAATCATCGATTCTTTGGTTCATTGGTTCCCCCAGCCGGTTGTGCATGGATTCTTTCATGTCATGTCATGTCATGTCATTGGCATCTCAACCACTATTTGTTCATTGTTGATGCACTTCACAACTTCAACATGTCATTGCTTCTGCATCTCAAAAAACTGTCCTATAGGCCATTGACTTCTATGGGCCGGGCACTATCTGCTAAACCCACATTGGGGAGGGGTTATGACTTTATGACTCAACCATTCAAAAGTGCTATAGTTTTTTTAAAGATGGGACATGCATGGTGATATCAAGGGATATTGTTGACCAACTATAATCAAAAGTCGGGGTGTTTTTCTATACATTATCCAAACAAAGGGTTTATTACTTCCAGTTTGCCACACTATCACTAGTATCTGGTATCGGATTTCAAACCCAATATATATGGAATATTTTCGATTTGGATGATACTGGAAGTTTGGCAACAGTGATGCATCAGTCTATATATAGATATGCTTACATACCGTCATGTGGTAAACCCAACAATAGACACTCCTCTATTAACCAAACTTAACCATCGGTATTCAAATCATGCCCAAACTGGGGGTTTATCGTTTGAGGTTTGCCACAATACTGGTGCGCCCTTCCGTGCCCAGACAATAACAATTCCACATCTAAAAAACTAACAGAGCGATACATAGCGATGGAAAATCACCTTTTTCAAATAGGTAAATCATTTACAAATGTGGCAATTTTCCATGGATATGTTAGTTATCTATGAGTCAAAACCACATGTTCCCAGAAATGGCTAGAGGAAAATCAGCTCATGTCCATCTATTCCAGCCACATTTTTGGGATTTTCACCAGTCTACAAAAGTTCTGACACGTGCCCAACTGGAACCTGAAAACCCACTTGGCCGGAAAAATCATGCGCTTATAGAATCTTATAGATAGCTTGCTGTAGATCTAAAGAAAATACAGATTTTCTGTTGCCAGATAAGCAAACACCAGAGGGTCCATTCCACCCCATTAGGGATTAGGGATGATAATCCCCATTGGCGAGCATATGTCATATGGGCATTGCAACCAAACAGCAAAACATTTTCCACTTTTCCATCCGTTCACCCATCACCAAAACGATGCACCAAGCATTTTCCGGTTTTCATCCCATTCACCCATCGTTTCGGCATTTTGCCAGACACCAGGCGTTTGGCAAACGTGGCCCTCACACGTGCGCAGCTGGGTCTGGTTGTGGTGGCCAACACGCAGGCAGAACGGGAACGCCTTTTAGGACGGGGGCTTAGCCATGAGATATGATAAACACAGGTATATCCATTGATTAACAATAGTTTACCCATGAATAATCCATGACTTGTCATTTATAGGCATGATATAGCCATGATATCGCTGATAAATATGACATAAACAATCATAAACACAATTATGCTGATAAATATGTTTGTGTACTGATACATGGCAGTGGTACTGCAACTTCCTGGCCATGTCCTGGCCGAACCAACTAAGAATTACTGTGTTGGCTGGGTATCCAATATCCAAGATTGGCGTAAACGATGACTTGACCCATAATCTCATGGAAACAGGTTTGGTAAGTCCGCAGCGAAAATCACACACACATGCATGCAATGTATATATATATATATATATTTACATATTCAGTACACATACATGTGTGTATGTATGTACATATAGCAAAATATACATCCGTGTGGTTTGTGGCCATTTCCCTTGATTGATTTTGAATGGGTAAACACCATATCAAAATCCACATGTCGCAGGTGCTATCCAGTGCCCCGCACTGGAAGAATCTCTTTGAACACGCACGTAGCAATCGCTGCTACTGGGACCAGGAGCTCCAAAAGATCCGGCAGGGGGAATCGGGTATGAGTAGTATAACCACAACAAATATATGGAGAATTAGGGGATACTGGATGGATACTGGATGGATAACTCATGGATAGTAAATAAGAACCTAACCGTTTTGCAATGGAAAATGGCACGTTTCAAGGTGATTCACCTATTGAAATTGGTGGAAAACCATCGCAAACTGCTCGATCACCAGAGGGTAAGCGAAAGGAATTCCTTGGAAACAAAAGCAATGGCACATTTAAACCCATCCATTGAGTAACAGTCTCCCCGTGACCCTTGCTGTCATTGCCAGTATTATTATTATTATCATTATAGCAATCCCTTCCCCTCAATATGAAATACTCCTCAAACGAAGCAGTATTGGATCTATACATGCATTGGGGTCCCTTATTGGGTATGACCTGATTGGCGCCTAGGATAATTATCTATCAGTACAAATAGATATACATACTGTACACATTCTGGTTTGCTAATCCTATGACAATACTCATACTATGATGATGACCTACAGATGTGTACTAATTATCATATAGCTTGTTACTATATAGTGATACTATAGTATCCTGATCCTTGTAGTAGTTTTCATTAGGACATGTAGTATCATTACTGTATGTATTCTTATGTTTTCTTTTTTAAGTATTTTTTTTCATTTTAAGCTATTTTACACTATATATATATTATCACATATATACATATATATATATACATATGTGATAATTAATATATATATACACATACTATATTACTATTTACATTTATCCAGTAACTATTACATATTATTATATATTTCTATGTATCGTTATATATTATTATAGTAAATATCTTCGCTCACGGGGTTTTAGGATGAGCCCCTGGGATCCTTGGTCTCGATCTTGCCAGGATGCTGCCATGGACTTCTTCCAAGATGGTGAAGCAACTGGGCCCGCGGACAGCTACTGGGCCGAGGCGAGACATGTCGCTGGAAGCCCTTCCAATGGTTAGGAGCGGTGAGCTGAGCTATATTCAATGGAAAAATGGGGAGCTAGTTGGAGATACAATCAGAATTTCCCAACCGTGTGATAGAATTTCTGCCAGATCATGTAAACTTACTCTATTTTGAGTAATCCCCACCAACTGACATTCTACCTGACATTTTTTCTGACGGTTCTATTTTGACATTCTTTCTGGCATTCTCTTTAGGCATTCTTTCTGGCATTTTATCTGACAAATTCTGACGTTCTGTCTTGCATTCTTTCTCACATTCTATCAGACATATATTCTGACATTCGATCTGGCATTTATCTGACATATATTTTGATTTTCTGCCTGACATTCTATCTGGCATTCTATCTGACATCTATTCTGACATACTTTCTGGCATATATTCTGACATTCTCTCTGGCATGTGTTCGGGTCCAGGCGTGCTCTACAGCGTTCTCAACTTTCCATTTTTGAAGGAAGTCTCGCAGAATTGCTTCGTTTTTGATGTTGTCAACTTCGAAAATTGAGGAAGTCTCGCAGAATTGCTTCGTTTTCAAGGTTGCAGAAATACAGATAGATAGATAGACAACTACAACTACAACTACCGCTACAAATACAAATATACTACACTACAGCACACAACACTAATTGCACTACACTACACTAATTACACCTAATTACGCTACACTACACTAATGACACTACAACTACACTTACTACTACCAGAGCTACAGCTACAATTACAACTACACTACTTTACACTACACTAATTAAACCGCAGTACGCCACAACTACAAATACAAATGCAACTACAACTACACCACATTATACAACATTGCATTACACAACATTACATTACACTCATTACATTACACTAATTACCCACAACTACAACTGCAACTGCGGCTACAATTATAACCACCACTACGTTGCGCTGCACTGCGCTACGCAACACTACATTAATTACACTACACTACGCTACACTACACTACACTACACTACCCTACCCTACACTACAACACTACACTACTTTAGACTACGCTACACTACACCACGCTACAGTGCACAGATTACAGTAGACTACAATACACTACACTAATTATACCCCACCACAACTACAACTGCAACTACGCTACACTAATTACACTACATTACAGCTACAACTTACAACTACAACTCCACTACACTACAACAACAACTCAAATAGACAACTACAACTACCACCACCACCACCACCACCACCACTACCACTACCACTACCACTAACACCACTACTACTACTACTACTACTACTACTACTCCTACTCCTACTCCTACTCCCTACTCCTACTCCTACTCCTCCTCCTCCTCCTACTCCTCCTCCTACCCCTCCTACTACTACTACTACTACCACCACCGGTACTACTGCTACGACTGCTACTGCTGCTAGTGCTGCTAGTGCTACTAGTGCTAGTGCTACTAGTGCTACTAGTGCTACTAGTGCTACTAGTGCTACTAGTGCTACTAGTGCTACTAGTGCTACTAGTGCTACTAGTGCTACTAGTGCTACTGCTGCTACTGCTGCTACTACTGCTACTACTGCTACTGCTACTGCTACTTCTGCTCCTGCTCCTGCCACCACTACTACTACCACAACTACTACAACTACCACATCTACCCCAACAACAACTACTACTACAACAACCACGACGACGACGACGACGACTACTACTACTACTACTGCTACTGCTACTGCTACTGCTACTGCTACTGCTACTGCTACTGCTACTACTACTGCTACTGCTACTGCTACTGCTACTGCAACAACAAGTACAAATACAAATATACTACACTACATTACACAACACTAATTTCACTACACTACGCTAATTACATCTAGTTACGCTACACTACGCTAATTACACTACAACTAGAATTACTACTGCCACAGCTACAGCTACAATTACAACCACACTACATTGCACTACACTACGCTAGTTAAACCGCAGCACGCTACAGGTACAAATACAAATACAAATGCAACTACAACTACACAACATTACACAACATTACACTACACTAATTACATTACATTACACACAACTACAACTGCAACTGCAACTGCAGCTACAATTACAACTACCGCTACACTACATTAATTGCACTACAATACAACTACAACTACACTACTTTACACTGCAATACACTAGACTACACTACACTATACCACGCTACAGTACACAAGATTACATTAGACTACGATACGCTACACTAATTACACCACACCACAGCTACAACTGCAACTGCAACTACGCTACACTAATTACACTACATTACAGCTACAACTTACAACTACAACTCCACTACACTACACTACACTACACTACACTACACTACACTACAACAACAACTACAACTACAACTGCGCTACACAACACTACATCCAGCAGTTGTAGTGAGGTGACCACTGCAACCATCGCAGCCACTGGTCCATCAGTGGATTCGCTCTGCCATCCGTGATTCACAACAACCAACCGCTCCTATAGGCTTCCTATTTTTGAAACTTCCGCCACCACCTTGTGCGGTACTACCAGTAAGCCAAAAACTGTGTATGCAACAATGAAGGTAAGACGAAGGCTCCAAAGTGGGTACAGCACCTTTCCAGGCTTGTATGACCTGGTTCAACCGCTGGAAATTTTCACACTTTGCTGTGGGTAATCACCATAAACCATACCCATCCGTCACACCCCAAAAATGGGCCAGCAAGTTGCCATCATCTCAGAATTTGATGACCTGGGGGTAAAGACGATTAGTTCCTGCGGATTTTCTCCTCAACCAATCCATGGAAACAATTTTCAGTTGCCTCCAGCCTTCACTCCACTTAACAGTGGGTGCCGATCTCTTGCAGGTTCGAAGTCAGTCGCCGCTACCCAGCGGATCGGAGTCGGAAGGCGACTGCAAAGACGATGTGAGTCTGAAAATGGGGTACCCTTAATGTGGTAAACCCAACAAAACAATCCTCAATTGATGTTTATTATTGGGTATACCCCTAATTATTTGGGATGACTTGAAACGACCCCAAATGATTGGTTACTGGCACTGGGATGGTTTATTAATCCAATGCGGATTCTTCATTTTCCCGGTAAAATGCAAAGCGTCGAGTTAATTTTTAACCCACTAGCCAGTTAACTGTTAACTAAGTCCATGCCAAGGCCCTTTGTGCCCATACTGAGGCTTGATGGTACTAGCTCTGACGATGCAACTGGATGTTGAAAGGAAGGGTTTGATTTCAGAAGCAATTTTTTTTTGGCAACCTTCCAAGTCACCCAGCATTGTCTAGATCGAGTTCATGACACATGACTCGCATGACCCAACTTTTCGCTTCTTGCAGAACTCCAGGGGTCCGACGTTCCCGCGGCCCATCCGGCTTCGACCCCGGCAGGTCATGCAGAGGCCTCCGAGGCCTCCGAGGCTTCGGCCTTCGGCTCCGCGCCGCCCAGCAGCGCCGCCTCGGACGCCGAGGGCGAAACGGAAGTACCGGCGCCGGCGGCGCCGGTGGCACCGGTGGCACCGGTGGCCCGTGCGCGGCGCAGGTGGAGTTGGTGAGTCAGTGAGCAATGACAACGTTAGTTTATCAACATGAATCAATCTAAAGGTAAGTGGATCTAGTGCCATTTTCATCTTGGAAACAGTCGGTGTCTATGGTCTTTTCATGCTTGCAACACATGTGACAGGAAAAAATGCTTGAATTTGGGTTTGAATCGTTTGTTTTAAGTCAGAACATTGTTGTCCCACTTGAAAGTGTTATGTTGTTGCTTGATGTTAGGCAATCGGAGAATGTGCCGAGATGTTGTAAGCGGCTGGATTTTTTTTTGTTTTCTTCTCGCATGCACAGCACAGTCGAAAAAACCAGTCCGGAACGGTGGCAGACATTTGTTATCGAAATCCAAATTTGGGGCTATGTGGAAATTGGTTCTGTTGGGTTTGCCATGGGCCAGCTTTTCAGATCTAAGTTCGACTGGACTTCCGACATGTCCCTGTGTTGAATGGGCAAATTTGGGCCAGTATCAAGTTGGGAATGTGATTCGGTACACACCCAAGGGACAAGACACTGGATATGACTATCCTTTGAACTATGGAAACTTGGAGTGCAAAGCTCATGACAGCCGACTACCGCCTTTCTGCGACGTCGAGTCGCCTCCAGCATGGTGTGCCCAAAAATGGTGCTACGTGGACAAAGATGACTGTAGCATCGTGCCTTACCGCAGCTTTCTGTTTGAAGGTTCGGATGCTCATTACAGCTATCAGACCTGTGGAGAGTCGAATCAGTTCGAAACTTGGATAGCTTCATTGGGGCAAGGCACTGTCTCAGTGACCGAGTTGTTGGACGTGGTCCAAGGCTACCTGTGGAGTACTCGAGCAAGGGTGGAGAGCGAACATATGGCCCTGAAAAGTGTTTCTAGTTGCAACTGGATCAACCAATGCCCCTGTGTGGAATGTGTACTGAATGATTTGTGGAAAGGAAAGACTGACTTTACCAAAGTTGGTGTTACCTTGAAATCAGAAGATGCCAGTTTCGCATGCTTGTCGTTGCCTGTGTCTCAAAGCTACATCAACATCGCAGCGAAGGAAGGTCAACCCTATCAACGAGTGGGTTACATGTACTTTGCAGATCATGCCAGTGGGAGCTACATGGGTTGGCCAGCAGTTGATTGGTGTTTTGATTCGGGCTATGATCCGCGGCTGCGTCCCTGGTATTCCTCCGGCGCCACCGGTCCAAAAGATTTGGTCATCGTAGTGGATGTCAGTGGCTCCATGGAACAGGCAGGGCGTGCGCGATTGGCAAAGGCCGCCACATCTGCGGTGATCGATACCTTGGAGTGGAAGGACTGGGCCACAGTGATCCTTTTCAATCATGGCATTGCGGCTCAATACTCACAGCAGCTGCGTCCCATGTTGGATGAGGAAAGATCAAAGATGAAGAGCTGGTTGAATGACCAGATTTGGAGTCAGGGAGGGACCGACTTTCAAACCGCCCTTTCGGAGGCCTTTGCAGTTATTGAACGCAGTGTCAGTGCAGGAGACACTTCGATGTGTCAGAAGGGCATGCTTTTCTTGACGGACGGTGAGGCAGATTTTACCGAGTACGACTTTGCACAGACTCAGCGAAAAGCTCTGCAGTTCAGTGTGGCACTCTTTACATATGCGCTTGGTTCTGGTGCGCAAACATATATTACGCACCGCCTGGCGTGTGAAAACAAGGGCATTTTCTATCAACTTCCAGATCACGCAGACCTCTCCACAGCGATGTCGAAATATTATGAGTACTTTGCATCAGGTGTAGAGTTGTGCATTCCTTCCTTCACCCGCTATCGAGATGTCGTCACAGGTGCTGAACTCTGGCCTGCATGTTTGCCGAGCTATGACCGCTCTTCTGGAGAACAGGAACTCTTAGGGGTTGGCTGTATCGATTTGAACGTCATGGCTGATCTGGAAAGGATGAAAAGCGAATCCTACTGGGAGGACTTCATTTGCAAACTCTCCGACCTTAGCAAACAATGCTATCACTTGGACCTTAGCGACTGCCGCCTGGAAAAGTTGCGCCGAGCTGTTGGGCCTGAGTCATCCTGCACGGACGTGGCATGGGAAAGCAACTGTGCATGTGCGGATCCCAACTGTCAAGACAATGCGAACTTCTTAGACGAGCTGGGCTATTTCTGTGACACTTGGGTGGGTGATGACTGCACCCGAGCAGTAGAAGACTGGGGCTACACGGCCGCCGGTCAAGAAAGTGTCTTGCAGCAGTGCAGACGCTCTTGTGGCAGATGCCCTCAGGGTCCTTGTCAAGATGGGCAATGTCAAAATGTTGAGAAAATTTCCAGCAGCGCATGCCGAGACAAGCTCACCACACGGGTTACACCCAACAAGATTACAAAGATATTGATGGCTTCAGGATTTGGTGTACAGCTTGCATGGATAAATCCATGGGCCTGGCTTTGCATTTCCTTGGCGCAGAGTGTCTTGTTGGTCTAAGCCGGCAAAAGCCGGAGGTATTCTTGGCGGTTGACTAAGTCATCCGCCCTGACCATATTGTGAGAATGAAATTGGCAAAGCAGGACAGTTGGTTCCGAGTCATCCGAGGATTATTTTCTGGCAAATTTTTGGTGCACATTTTATAGCGTTCTTTTATTTCGGTCTTATGAGTCCTATGGTATTTTAAAGGATTGGGCAAAGGAATGGAGAATTCATGAAGATTCCCACACAATTATATATATGTTGGAAAACAGAAGAGCATGGAAGATCGCACATTTTCTACAAAACAGTCTTTTGGGGATAGGGTCAGGTGCTTGTGACAACCGCAGGCGTGGCAAGAGGAGCAAGGCAAAAGCCAAAGCCAAGGTGGGCTGGTCGCAGGCCTCGAAACATAGGAAACCAATGCCTTGGACTTGGGCTGGGCCATCCATCTTCGATCCATGCCACCGTTGGCAAGCACTTTTTGAGCTGTTTTTTTCATGTTTTTTCTCCCGCATTTTCCATCCCCAGGAAGTGTGACGACGAATCCACAAGCAGATTTTTCCCGATTTTTCGAATATTTTCCCAATATTTTTCAATGTTATCCCAATGCAACTTTTTCGGGGGGATGTGCGACTAAATCCCCAAGCAGTTTGAACACTTGAGGCGCGTGGCAGGGCTCCTGAGGCTGAGGAGATTCTGGAGGCACACGATGCAAAGCAGTGGCCATCAAAGTCACTTGCTGTTTGTTTTGGGATATATATATATATGTTATAATTATAATATATATATGTATAATATTATGATTATATATGGGGGTTTCCTAAAAGGGGGATCCCGAAGTCACCATGTGTTTCAATACTGGAACGGTCGTTTTTTTGTATGATTTGGGGGTCCCTTAAATTTTGGGCAAGCTGCATATAAATGTATATATCAATATACACAATAAAATCACATGTTCCAAGTTATCATGTTTTTCTTAGTGTTTTTTGGGGAGAGAATGATTTTTACAGATGTTCGAAGCTCCCCGAGGTTTGAGGGCAAGTTTTGAAGAAACCCATTGAACGGCGCATAGGCTCTTTGAACATATTGCATGATTATTGTTATTGTCATTGTTTTTGTTATTATTATCATTATTATGATATATATATAATGTATTTCATGAGTATAAACACATACCCTGTTGAAATGGTTACATGGTTACGATTGTCTACGCTCCCCTCCCTGTTGTATTGAGTTATGGGGTACATCGCTGCCTTTTAAACCCGAAATACTTTTAGCAGATGATTTGACTTGCAAATGGAGGGCGAACCATCCAACATCGGGGTCATTGAAGGTTAAGCTGCATCTAATGAATATATGTATCCTAACCACACAAACATGATCAGACACGCGTATTAATTCATTCATTGCCTTATTTGTTTTATATAAGTATAATTATATATGTATATATATATACACACCTTATGCGTAAATTTCTACAAATTAGACATGCGTCCATGATGTACCCACCATCTCGTCTCCACCAGGAAGCCCTCGCCGAGACCGGCGCGCCGCTCTCGCCGGACGCAACGGAGCGCACGGCTCCGGCGGTCTGCTGCGTGGAGGACTGTCGAAACAGGCACCAGACGGGGCGATGCCAACTGAGCGGAGGTGCATATATTATTCAGTGCATATATCCATTAAAAAGATGTGAAATGATGTGCGATATATATATATATATATCCATTATGATCATATATTCATTATAATATTGAGTATATATATATACATATATTGAGTATATATATATTATATACATATATACTGTATATGTATGTATATAGATAATATGTTAATTTATATCGTATGTTGTATATACCGCATTTTATACATACACGCTATACATCATGTCTTGATACACCTGGCTTCATGGGGATTCAACCAGTCCTCCATGGTCTCCCTTTGCCAATGCGGGGCATCTCGACGTCTCATCCAATTTAGGCCTCACATGTGGCCATACAATCCTCCTTGACGTGTCAGTCCCGCGCGACTACAACTCCATTTGGGGCAGTCCCACAAAATAGGGTAGCCCCCAGTTCCCTCAATTCATCAAAAACCAGAAACTGGAGCATATCCTATTTTCAGACTCACCCAAGTATCTATTAGCATCATGATCCATTGATTGAATCCCTAGTGTTGATGGTGAAACCACCACAAATCCACCAGAAATCGACCAGAGATCCATCGGACCATGCCGCAAGGCCACATCAAAGGTCACCTTTTGCTTGTGCCCACGGGCTATGCAGCATGGCTTTGAGAGGGACGGCCTCTTTCAGGTCCCAAGATAGACATCAGCACGTGCTCGAGTGGCTTATGCGTACATGTATATATATATATATATTATATCATTATATATATATAAAAATTATATCTATATCTAAAATGGGGGTACCCCTAAATTTCATTCATTTTGAGATAAACCATTCGTTTTGGGGAGCCCCCATATATGGAACTCCCCGTATAGAGATACCTTTGTACCACATATTCAATTTCCACGGTCTCAACTGTTCAACAACCAACAGGTTCCAGACCAATTAGTTGTTCGGAACCAGAACTGCATCTCCAAGAATGCCAAAACCATTCCCAATCTCACCAGAAATGCGTGAGAAGGTTTATGGCCTTGGGGTTGCCACATTCATGGTGATATTATACCTTCACTGGTGGTTCTATAATAATAATACACATTCCCATTTTCACACATTCTTAAGGCCGATTTATATTCTCATTTTCCTTTCTGTCTCATTGTTTTCCCGCGGGTGATTTTGCTGGTCCAACATGAATGTCCCAGCGCGATCCAGCATGTATTTTTTCTAACTTCAACCACACCAGGGGACCTGGCATGGAAGTCTGACACCCCAAGGTAGTGCACACTACAAAGAACTTTTGAAGGAAAAAGACTTCTTAGAGCAGCAGGAGGTGGAAGGCCCCCTGGCTGCAAGGACAGATGAGAAGAAGTGAAGTGAGCTCGAGCTCAAGGTCATCTTGTTGGGTTGATTCTTCCGCAATCTGACCAGAAAACGTGAGTAAATGAGATCCTTTCGTTTTCTCGCAGCTGCTAAGCCAGATGTGAACATAGCCATTGTCGATGAATGTGAGCAAGTGCTCATACATCCATTGGAGAAAGGCATGTAGTGTAGGCAACCAAACATGGAAATAGAACATCGTTAGCAATGATGAGAACTCAAACACTTTTGCACGGGGCCCTGGGTTTGCTCATACCAAAGTAAACTGGCAACTGACATCACCCTGGATTTCACTCAGAAAAGTCAGCCCAATTGGTCGATTCCGAAGATCCTTGGGATAACCAGGATGGGAACATTTGAGAAAACCATGCTGAATTCGCCATCATTTTGATGCTTTCCCTTGAAATGATTATTTCGCTAAAACCAAGGAAAACGAGGGACTGTCCTAGAGGAGGGTCTGGTCGCAGGGCTTGATTACCCTCTAGCAATCATGACACGGGAAGTCCGCATTTTATGACAGGACAACGATGTGCTGTGTGTGTATATAAATATTAAAAAATGTTGGATTTCTATTGCCATGTGAGATTGCCAGAGAGTAGATCCCGCATTCATATTTTTTGGTAAAGTCATGTTAAGCCGCAAAAAAAAATGGTGGCTGACTGAAGAACCCATAACGATTGCTCTGAGGGCCCGTGTCGTCGATGGAACGCTTCATTCTGCCAACGTATTGGAACCCCTTGCCACCCATAGCGGAAGAAAAGAAACTCCGAAGCAGGTGGGGTTTTGATAGGGCCAGGGGCTACTGTGTGGGAACGTGTGCTGGAGAATATCTACTAATACTTCCCCCCAGATATTAAAACTATTGAATTGCCCACATATTGAGGTCCGCAAAATTAATAGATCCATTGCTTAGCCATCGTTTCCGGTCGCTGGTTAATATTAGGGGAACAGGATTAATTTATGGAGGATTTTGCATGGTTGGTTGTTTACAATTCCTTGAACATCTTGACTTAAACATAGATTGCTGGGGGTATTGTATGTTGCTAGATTCCTACCATTGTTAGCAAACTTGGCCATCCCTGTTGCTGATGGCCAGATTAATCCCTGGTGAATCAAATCCCAATTCTTGAGCTTATAATATCACCAAGTTTTGTTGGTTATATCATATATCAATTGATATACCCGACCTTGGTTTATTTAATCCCAATCTCTAGTGGTAATGTGGTAAACTTATAACTTGTGAGCAGAGAATGACAACAACTACATATTTTGGATCTTCCAGTCTCTGGCAAAACTGGCAACAACTGACAACAACTGGCTACAACTGCAAAACTTCGGACAACATATGGAGATTTCCTAAAATCAAGGTACCCCCAAGTCATCCAGTCGTCATGGATGACCATGACTTAGTATTGAACAACCATGGTGGCCATGGTGACTTGGGGATTCCCCATGACTTAAGAAACCACCAGATGGCAAGCATCTAGGCGCGCTAGAGCCGCTAGGTCCTTCTTCAGTGTCCTGCTGCGCTATTTGGAGACCTCGAAAACGCCGACGTCGCCCTCACTGGATGTGCTCTTCACCTTAGCTTTCACTGAGACTTGGATCTGACCCCCATGCTCAATATTGAACCATGGCCATGTGAGGAACTCAAGCCATGCTCAACTTGAAGGTTTTTCCTGTATGATGAATATGTATGTATTTTATGTATTTTTACTCGTTACCTAGATGACAGGATCATTTTTTGGCATAATTATCTTAATCATTATTCTATGGATTTCCAGAATTAGTTAAAAGGGAAATTTCAGGACGCCTGGATTTTTGCCTGGAAAACGGACATGTTTTCTGGTACTTTATTTGTCTTCAACGAATCCAGTGATCATGTGGTTTTCTGGGTGATGCCATTTCTGGGTCCATGGGTTTTCCAGTCCCTGGATTCACCATGAGCATGTGAGGAACGTAAAGGCCATGTACATTGGTTGCGTTTGCAACTGGTGGCTGACATGAAAAAACAACAAGATAGCGAAACAGAAAAAAAGGCTCTGGGGATATGTGCTTAGGTTGCGTTTGAGTTGGTCTATAAATCCATTACCCTCTGGTAAACGTTCACATAACGAACTGGAACATCACCATGCTATTAATGGGTAAATCAACTGTTTCGACTGGGCCATGGCTTCAATAGCAAACTGTAAACGTTTACCAGAGGGTATATCCCAGTATTATCCCATCATTATCCCATTATCATCCCTATAAAACCATATTAAAACCATATGAACCATAGATTATCCATAGATTATCCATAGATTAACCATAGATTAACCATAGATTAACCATAGATTAACCATTTATGTTTGTTTACCAGAGGGTATCTATAGAGATCTCTACCATAAACCGTAGACTTCACCAGGGCCTCACCGACAGTACCCCGCTCCACGCCCAAGTTCTGAACACCTCGAGAAGGCATCGAAAAGCAATCGTGGCGTTCAGCTTTTTTTTTCCCCTTTCAAAAGACAAACGACATTTAAGATCGTATATAATACATATATATATACACATATCATAAGACATTATCATTGCTTTCAGAAAATTACACCTTTGGTGATTATCATTAAAGTACCAGCATTCATCAACCCGGTCTAACAGTCAATGTGTGTTAATGTATTGATGTTAGAATTGAGTGCTTGTATAATTCGGTTTGAGTTGAAGCTTAGAAGGACCAGTGGTGACCACATTCATTCACTAAGGCGTCGATAAGGAGCGCGCATGAATTGCAGATCAGCCCTGAAGAGTTTCTGCACACGTGCCCTGGGGTGGCGGGGGGCGATTTGACCAAAAAAAATCGGAATTTAACATGATTTAACCAGCAAACATGGGGATTTAAGCGGCAAACATGGTAATGATCATTACTTCACCAAGGATTATTTTGAATTTTGACTCGACTTGCTGCAAAATCGAGAGTTGAGCAACAAACACGGGGAATCATGCGAATTTCACCAACAAACGTGGGGTGTTTGTTGGGTAGAAGTGGGGATCTTAAGCAAAATTGGACTCGTAGATGGCCTTTTTTCACTGAACTCCGTGAAGGGAACCATCCATCTTCACAACTTGCAGTAGAGGTAAGTTATGTTGAGTACAGTACGGCCCTTTGATTTTTCTATGCCTGTTCATCAATGTGCAGGTCCTCTTGCTCAATCTGCGTTGATGATCCTGGGTTTTTGTTGCCTGTCACTATATGTGCCAAGGTGAAACGGTGGATTATGTAGCCATTTTGGGGGATGGTCATGGATCCTTTTCTCATAGAGATTTATATACCCATTGTAAAGATTCCCATGGCATGGCATGCATGGCCATACCAGACCACAATCAAGCTCCCCAATTTTTAGCTTTTTTTGGCGATTACCTTCTGGTAATTTAACATAGCAATTGATAATCACGATTTTGAATAAGTACTTCATCTAAAGAGTACATGGACCATTTTCCGTAACTATGTTGACTTACCAAAGGGTAAGCCATCCACTGGTTGGTGGCTTCGAGCATTTTATACACTCGATTTCCATCCTGAAATGATGATTCCAGCTGTGACCACCAACATCCACCAAACATATTTTTGGTATGGCTTTCAACTACTAACCAGTTCATGTTGCCATTTTTTTTCAGAAACAGTCTAGAAGAGAACCCTAAAATTCCTGCTCAAAACTCAAAAGAACCATGGTTTTGCCGAGTTTCCTATGAATTTTCCCTAGAACCAATCCATTGAATGTTCGGCCGGGTTTCACAATTTCGTTGGTCGCAATCTCCTCAGGGAAGCGATCGGCCTTCTGTTGGCTCTTCAGGCTATTGAGGCTCTGGTTTTTTCGCGGGGTACCTGAGATTCAACCCCCCCACAGCCCACATTTTAAGCCAGCTATGGGCTAGCCAACACAAATAAATAGATACACAAACAAATAAAGAAATAAATAGATAAATAAGCATAATCTATCTATCTATACACACATAGATAATACATAGATATATCGCCAGGGCTACAAATTGTTGTGCAATCCCGCATATTTTGGATGGTGACGCCAGGATTGTGCCGGGCAGGTTCCCAGCCATTTCCAGGCGTGGCGGGCACTTTGGAGAAGTCTGTGCATTTCTTTGTAACACCCAAAAAGGTAAACATATAAAATCCTACTGAAATACTGCTGTAAATCAGTTTTCAGTGTATTGTTTGGGCTACTACTGTACATATTATGCATGTATATATATATGTATATATATTCAGTACAGTTATTAATAGAGACCTGATACATATATGTGCGTAGACACACATATATATATACATAAATAAACAGGACAATTTTTTTGTGGGTCCTGGTCTAGGTACTTGGCAGCTAGCTCCGATCATCTTCAGAATGGCACATTTCACGTTGTGAATTCGATGTTGTCCCACATATTTCTGTGAAATATGGCCAAGAGTTCGCGTATTCATTTGTAAGTCTAATTCCCACCCATTCCCACCCATCTTTCCCAGATATCTCACCAGTATCTGGCTTTACTTCTTTTATTTGCCCACAAGGACCCCCAGTTGCAAGTTGATTAATTACCCCATCCAACTCTGTGTATACAAATAAAAATACATACAAATACATACAAATACATACAAATACAAATACATACATACATACATAAATACATACATACATACATTACATTACATTACATTACATTGCATTACATTACATTACATTACATTACAATTACATTGCATTACATTACATTACATTACACTACATTACATCAAATTACATTACATTACATTACATTACATTTACATTTACATTTACATTACATTTACATTTACATTTACATTACATTACATTACATTAAATTACATTAAATTACATTACATTACATTACATTACATTAAATTACATTAAATTACATTACATTACATTGCATTACATTACCATACATACATACATACATACATACATCCATGCATGCATGCATGCATGCATACATACATACATACATACACACATACATACATACATACATCCATGCATGCATGCATGCATGCATGCATGGATGCCTACATACATACATACAGACAGACACACACACACACATACATACATACATACATTCATACATTCATACAAAGATGCATGCATGCATACATACATGCATGCATGCATACATACATACACACAGAGATAGATATATATATATATATATTTATAGATATCCACCAACCACAATAAATCCAATCAGTAGCCTAGTTACAGACCAACGTACTTATCATGCATCACACACACATATATATATATATATTATATAAATCCAAGTTTTGTTGGTTCAATGGCTTAAACCCATGGTTGATGCTGAACCCACAATTTTCCCATGGTCTTTCCGAACAGCCTACGAAGCCACAGGAGAGGTGGCAGCAGCTCAGCGGGCAGAACCAGGGCCAACAGAGCCAGCAACGCTACCAGGAGGTGGCACCACTGGCCATGAAGGGCCTCCCCAGGGGGTTCCCTGTGATGGCCTAAGAATTTGTCAGTAAATTGGAAGAATCCCCGAGAAAAATGGGAAAATCCATAGGAAAAGATGGGAAGGAATTGTTTTTTGTCCTATGGAATACTGTATATGCAATGTCCAAGCTGCACATAGACAAAAGTACCAAGGAGTTGATGGCCCGGGTTGCATGGGGGGCACATCAGGTGCCACTTCGCTGCGGAATCATCAAAATGGCAGTTAAACACCTGACTGTTATAAGCGAAAAAACAACCAGACGCAATTCTAGCTCATTCAATCATTCAATCGTAGGTAGTATTTGTTTTTGTTAGAGTCTTTTTGAGTATTGTGAGCTAAACATAGTTTGACGGCCATGGTCCAGGACATTCTGGCGATTGCGGCCTTTTGGAAAGAAGAAGGCACCAAGATCTGAAATGATGCCATATGAGCACCATATATGATACATTATGACACTGCACAGGGACATTTTAAATTTGTAACAAAATGGCGGACATGCATTTGTTCACAGAGATACTGTAGCGATATGGGTCTTCCGGCAAGTTCTCCAAGTTCCGAGTTGATAATTTGTCATCACAATGTCTGTTTTGAGAACTAGCATTGGTAGTTTAAAGGAAGACTCACAAAATTGGTTGAACGGATCATTTCAGGAAACCCCCAGTTTCAGGAGCCCCACTTATTTTGATGGGAAAAGCCGTGGTTTCATGTAGATGTTGCATGGCTGTGAAGCTTCACCCTACAGCATCTGACAGAGGGGCCAGGGATGTCCTGTGCTACTTGGCAGATTGATGTTGAGGTGATAACTACGAAGTCAAGCGCAATAAGGATCGAGGTCTTGGAATTGCTTTGAATATCTCGATCTCATACGACTTACAGCACTTGTGGAACCTCTCTCAACCTCCCATCTTTTGCAATGCTCACATCGACAGCGAGGCAACCGACACAAGCAGCAGAGTGGCTTGGGCCGCACTGATGGCAGCAACGGGAACTCGCTCATCCAATCAAGAACTTGAAGCATTTGTCCTTCCATCCCCTTCCCACAAGTGGTGCAATCGTATCTTCAAATTCACCCAGCCCAGCAAATTTGCTTTGTGATTATAGAACTTGTACGCCGCACACGCAACCAATAGACAGTAGACTAGCTGCTAAGTAGTTGTGGGTCACCATTTCAAACCCAAAAACAAACCCTCAGATTGATGTTATTTTAATCAGAGCCATCCAAAAAACAGTCCTAAGTTTTCACCCCAGAAAAAATTGGATGCTGTGTCTCCTCATCATCCTTCGCTATTTCGATTTTTGCCCCAGGTTCTTGTGGCCCTCTAGTAATCCATAACAGTGGATGGTTGAGTTCCCCCGCACATTTTGAGGCCAATTTTTCCCAACCTTTTTCTTGGTAAAACGGGGGCAAGATGACTAAACAACTTTTTTTTGCTGGTTACCCTCCTCTGAAAGAACATAGATGTGGAAAACCCACCATGTATAAATCATTTTCCTAGGAAAAACGATGCGTTTTCCACATCTACATGAGTTTACAAGGTTTTTCTGCGGGTAAGTCATGGATTTTTTTTGGATGAAACCATATAAACAACCCAGCCCATCCGGAACGGAGCGGGACTCGGGACCCTCCAGGACAGCTTGTAGGAGAGTTTCAGCTGGCGCTGGACAGCTACGCCTTTGGGTCTCAGCTATTGGAGGAGATCGGAGTTGTACCCAGGTTAGTGGGATGTTACCATCATTTTTTAATTTTATTTTATAGGGGTTATAGATGGTTATAGCCATCAAACATTTGGGAATGAATAATTATATATATAGATATGGATAGATAGTTGATAACTGATGGTTGATGGGTTATTTTTGAGAGTTTTACTACCACTATTTTTGGGGATTGTGACAAACCCATAGTAGGGAAACGGTTTTCAACCAACTAGTTTTTCATGAGATGGGATAGGGGTATCTTTTAGTGGTTCATATGGGAATGGGCATGGCAAAGCTGAGGAGTAATGGACACGGAATTATGGACTATAATTGATTACGAACTTTTCAATTGATGGATGTAATACAAATGGTCTAAGGCTTTTTAATGGCAGTTCAATCGATGTTGAAATTTGCAATGGCAACTATCTATAAATTTAGATCATATTTTATGGCAAGTTATGGGAAGATTGTATGGCGATCTGATGGGAATCATCTATCATTATTTCTCAGTGTTTACCATTGTTCTAACATTAATTATCATTATTCATCATTATTTATCTATATAAGTATATATATACACATATATAAACGGTTGATCATCAGTTATCATTGATTGTACTATTTTACCATTACTTACCGCTCTTCATAGTTATTTACTTGATGATCTAATTCATTCGTTGGTTAATTGATCAATCTTATTTACTGTATCAGTTTTGGGGATTGCTTAATTCTGCCCCATTTGTACCATCTGGTTATTTAACATAGCCATGGAAAATCATCATTTTTAGTAGGTAAACCATCTATAAATGGGCCATCTATACCATGGCTATGTTAAATAACCAGAGGGTATATCCCGGTATATCCCAGTAAATCCCATTAGATCCCATTAAGTCACCATTAAAACCCATTAAAACCCATTAAAACCCATTAAATCCCATAGTAAATCCTATGAAAACACATGAAATTTTCCACATCGCTAGTAGGAGCTACCCATTTCTCCCCCCGTGGCGCGTCTCGCGGCTGACCTGGCCAACAACGCCAGCGCTGCGTACATTGACGCGGCTTGGCTTGGCGGGTCAGGGTCAAGTCGCTTGGGATGGCTTTCAGGGAAGATCTTCACCGGAAACCATAGTTTTTCCCATGAAAACCATGGTTTTTCCCATGAAAACCATGGTTTTTCCCATGAAAACCATGGTTTTTCCCATGAAATGGTGGGGGTTTTCGATTAAAAAAAAGACCAAACCAATCCATTGAGTGATATTGGCTCAATATGGATCCCATAGATTGACCCGACTGGTATCCGTGGTCCCCTGGATCCTCAGGGAACAGCTCAGCGTTTGTTTGGGGCTGAGGAGCTCCAGTGATTTTTGCACATTTGCCCATCATCCTTACTGATGACATCACCATTTTTGGGTTCAATTCCCAAGTTTTCGGACGCACTTCTGAACAGGTTATCACCAGATGTTACACATCCACCCAATATGAACTTAAATGGTGTTTTCGAATTTATTGTAGAGTATTTAGAGAAATTTCAGGCATCTATTTTTTTTGTACCTTGAAGGATCTTGAAGGTAGTTCCAACTTTTTGCCCGGCTCACTAAAATTGCGCTGAGGTGGAGGATTACCCAAGTGCTGAACAGTTGCACGGTGGCATTGGATGAACAACTGAACCCTGGCTGACCTCATCATAGATGATTGTTCACATATGAGCTATGGTCAATACTCATGGTTAATAACCATCAATAGGGGCTAGTCATCCAATGGTTCATAGGGATTTATAATAACCATTATAAGGATCCTTATTATGGATGGGATGACCATCAACCATATAGTGAGTATTGACCATGGCTCATATATATATATAACTGGTTGGGTGGCTAGACTGCTTATTGTTGTTTTAACTATAATGGGGGTGATGGGTTGAGATGACGAGCACATTTTGGCATGCCTTTGAACCACCAAACAGGTAAGTTTATAAAGGGAGAATCATCCTGAGGATGGGTGATTCCAGTTTGGGAATTGTAGTCCTTCGGACAAATCTTCTGGTTCTGCGCTCAAAACACATGGGTGCAGATGGGTATGAACCCAGATGACGAATTGAGTTCCCGCCAGAAAAAAAAGGGTGGCTGGACTATCCCAGACACCGTGTCACTCGTACCTAGTGTGTAAGCGTATGTGCAGTAAAGCGGAGCAATTTCTGGGGGCTTGAAGCCATCAACTGCGAGCTTTCGCATGTGAACTATGACTATAACCTTCCAATACGTCGATCCACAGCGTCTCGAAAAATGTCAATGGTCGGCAACTTGCCATGCAACTCTGCGGTACTTGGTGTTTTCCAATGTTTTCCACTGAGGTCTGCTTTAAGTGCGATCTCATACTTCGACCAATTGACAGGTGCCAAAGTCAGTAGCAGTGACCTGTTGTTTCATCGTTTCATCCTCTGGTGGATGAAGTGAACCAGAGATGTTCCAGGGTCAGTTGGGATGATTTTTGGGAAAAACTAGAGGAAATCCTGTTTTTCCATGTTTTTCCCACTATATAGATAGGGTCGCTTAGGGTCGCTTCCAATAGATTTCCCCTTAAGGTAATGTAGTGAAGGTTGGACCCAACACAAGGGACAAATCGCAGCTACCGATCATATATTGTGTCTCTATGTTTCTCTTCAGACTCAACCATTTCTATACATTTCAGTAGGAACAAACACCACAAATCACCACTGTCAGGATCATCCCAGGTATCTAGTTACTCGTTGGGGTGATCCTCCAATAGCACCAGGCTTCCCAACTCCTCAATCTGAAGACATCGTCCCACAACGTGGTGCCCCAGTTTCAAGTTTGTTTCTATATCTATAAAGCCTTCCAATTATATATGCATACAAATACATATATATATATATACATATATACACATACATATATATATACATACATATATATACATACATACATATATATATGTATATATATACATACATATATATATATATACATACATATATATACATACATATATATATACATATACACACATATATATACATATATATATAATATATATATATACATATATATACATATATATATATACACATACATATATATATACATATATGTATACAAATCATAAATCCAACAGTTCTTGTAGTTGTAAATCTTCGCTAAGAACGGGAAAGCACCGCACACACACACACACGTATCATTTATATTTATACGTATAAATATGTAATATTAGACACATACATGACATACATCCACAGTATTGTTGGTGTTGTATTCCCATCCTTTTTCCCAGCCACTGGCCGCAGATCCAGCGCTGCCGAAGAAGGCGAAAGCCTTCTACCGCCGTGGCGTGGCCTTACATCGCCTAGGCCGCTTGCAGGACGGGGAATTTGATGAGAATTTATGGGAATTCAGAAATCGAACCAACCATGTTGATGTTTGGTAGATTTTAAACATTGTGTATAGTGACGTATTGTGACATACGTATGATTGTTAGTTTGATCCCAAAGCGCTTTTTTTTAAAGATGTGATTTCTGTTCCAGCGATGTTTTGGGATGACCAAGCGGCAGTTTTTCACTGCGTGAAGCAACATTACCTGTATAATATCGCAATATATAATCTATTTAGACACACACACACAGAATGTGTACCCCGGTAACCCAATATATCTGTGGTTACAACTATGGCAACTAGTGTTGATTTGGGGCTTCTGAGTTGTTGCCAGCTAACACCTTTTAGGCTTTCCCCCATCCTTGACGTGGGATGACGCGGCGTCGCCCAGAAGGTGATTCACGTTTTTCGGTTCATCTTCCGCACACTGAGCATGAGCATACGGGTTTCACACTGTGGGGAGTTCACGACCTGCTGAATGTATCACCATGCATATTAATATATACATATAGTATATATATAGTATATAATATATATATATAATATTATATTATATTATATTTTATATTATACTATATTATATTATATATTATATATATAGTATTTTTTCGTACCATAGGGTCCCAGCGTTGAAAAAATCTCTCAGGAGTCTGTCACAGACCTGACCTGCGCGCTTCGGACTTGCCCCGAGGAAACCATGGGTTTTCCCATGTTTTTCCCATGAAACATATGGGGGGGTCCGGTAAGATTTCCCGGATAGACTGGATAGCAATCTATTGATTCAAACTGTTGGACGTTTGAGGTAACAAAACAAAACACGTACTTACTCTGCACATCAATCATATTGCAAAGGCAAATGACAGGTAGAGAGTGACTGCGACGCGAACATTGAGCCCTTTCTCATCATTTCTTTTCGTTGCGGACTCTAAGGATCACTTCCATGGGTTAGAAGCGACATGAATACTGTCCCGTAAGCAAACATGGTTTGCCGGAAAATACCCATTTAGTTCGATGATTTTCCAGCTACAAACCTCCATATAGTTCGGGGATTTACCATTGCCACGTTTGATTACTCAAGGGTATCAGCGTATCAGATATATCCACATATATATATACATATATATATATACATATATATACACACATATATATATACATGTAAATATGTACATTATACATATATCAAGATAGAAAGTAGTGACATTTGTTTTGTGGATCCTTCCAGCATTTTTCAACTCACGAAATCGCGCAGGACGAGATCCGAAATCGCCTGGTGATCGTGCAGGGCGAGCTGGAGCGTGCTGAGCATCGTATCCAAAATGGGATGGCTTGAAAGTTGGGGGGGTACCCCTACTTTTAAGATCTTTTAAGGGATAGCTAGTGAACATCACTGGGGGCATACCCATGTTTTTTTCCGAAAAAAATGGGGATACTTTGTACACTTCTTTCTGGACAAAGCCAGATTTTTCAAGCACATCTGTATCTTGAGGTTTAACCGTTCAATCGTATGATGAATTTGCTGCCTGCAGCTGTGTGGCAACTTTGGGCTCTCTTCCATCTCTCAGTTGCGGTGTCATTGCCATGGGCAACAAGGCGGGCGGAAGCAAAGAGACAGAAGGCTGTCAGTCATTATATGGCCACCCAGTTTGCCTTCAGAATCACCATCGACCATATTTTGCGAGAGATCAGGCATAGATTGATATCAGAATCGAAGTAATTTTTTGTTTTTAAAGGTATTTTTCGTTGTTGTTAGACGTGTTTTGCACATTGCGGAGTTCAACATCACTCGAAAAAATGCGACTGCACAATGCTGAATCAATCACGGTCAATCCCCATTTTCAGGTGATGATGTTTGAGAGGATCCTCAGGTAATCAGCTCCATGGCTTGCTGGAAAATCCACCAGCATTCAGTTCGATGATTTCCCCAGCTACAACTACGACCTCCATGGCTAGTTCGGGAATTTCCTAGGCTGCCACTTTTGATTGTTGGGTAGTTATATGCTGATAAAATATATAGTATCATCTTTAATATCATCTTTTAATATCATCTTTACCTGGGGATATAATTTGATTGTTGATAATATCATCCAATTATATGCCCAGTGAAAGATGATATTCCACTGATTTCCCATTGAGATAGCCATGTTTGACACCAGAGGGTATCCCCGGTATCATTCCATTTTTTGGCATTTTTTGGTCGATTTTGCCCAAGGGAAATGCTGGATTCCCCACCCGATAGGCCTGCGGTGCGCTGAGCGGCCGCAAGCCGCACACTCCGGAGCCGCCGAGCGCGAGCGCCGCGACCGCCGCAACCGCGACCAGCGAAGGTAGCAGTGGCAGTGGCCCAGCCGCTGGCCGAAGGCTGACTGGATGGAATTCATGTTGGATCTTGATTAGTGTAAGGGGGAGCCCCAAACATTTGAGGGGGTCTCTTTAGGCTGGTAAGTTTTGAGGGACCAAGGTTTGAATCATATGTTGGATCATGATCTTAAGTAATGATTTCAATTGATTTCAATTTACTTTCAATTTACTTTCAATTGATTTCAATTTACTTTCAATTGATTTTCCCTTTAAACCTAAGTCTAAGGATAAGCAAAGACTTCGATAGATATCCGTCCACTTTCAATTGAGTTTCCTTTTCAAAACTACTTTCAATTGAAATCCCCATGAAATCCCATAGAAATCTCACAGAAACCACATAGAACCCCTATATATAGGAATCCCATAGGAATCCCATAGAAATCGCACAGGAATCCCATAGAAATTCCATAGAAATCCAATAGAAATTCAATAGAAACACCATCGAAATCCTATAGAAATTGCAAAGATATCCCAAAGAATCCCATAGAAACAAGGATGCCAGGAGACTGGAACTAAGAAAAACTATCGTGCAGGACATGATAAAAGGATTTCTTTAAAAACTACCCGAAAAGTTGGACACAATAGAGGACCCTCAACAAACATACTATTGGAGATCTGAACTGCCCATGGGCTACCCCCTTGAAAAATTGTTTGGGTGCTGTTTTTTTCAATTGGGTTTTAATAAGTAATTTGATATTTTGATTTGAGAACAATGATATATTTAAAAATAATCAAAAACACAATAAACAACACATCCTGAAAGAACGGATTTACTGGAAAAAATGTTGAAAACATGTTGAAAAAACTGAACAACTGAAAAACACATGCTGAAAAAAATGGCCGGAGAAAACACAATAACACAATACCGAACCACCATCATTTCACAGGTCCTGAAGTATTTTCAGAAAACTTGACACAATACCGAACTATTGCACCATATAATCGGTACACAACATTAAGTGATATTTTCTATTAATGTTATCTAATATATGGATTTGATGGATCTTCTGATACATATGGGATTTTCACCAACAACACAATGACACAATGACACAATGGGAGATTAATGTTGATAGTCAGAATTTTAATCATAATCCCATTCCCGAAAATATTAAACACTTCTCCAGAAACCATCGTAGGGGATGAAATCATATATTTGGAACCATTTATAGGACCCAAATGTGTGATTTCATCCCCTAAATCATGGTCTATGAGGAGGTGTTTTATATTGGGGAGATGGATTATGGGAGAACCATCCCCAGAATTTGACTTGAATTTATTTTGAAAAATTATGGTTCGAGGCCGAAACGTTCTGATTTGCACAGATTCCAGGTCGAATTGAGGTGAAAGGCCATGGTTTTGGGGAAGATGACGCGCTTGACTCGTGATTTTCAAAAAGGTTGAAGCGACCAAGCAGGTGGGTCAACAACATATTGACCCATGCCCATACCCAACCTGAGACTGGCATGTTCGTATTACTTATGTGTGGGATGATTTCATGCGTTGCACCCCTTGATCCTCAAAGACTCCCTTCGTTGCCAGAAAGACCAGCGCATTGTTGGATATGCTTGGTCCTTCAAAACCATACGTACTTGAAACATCTTGAGCCCAAAACCTTCAACTCAAGCTGAAACCGGAAGAAACAACTCCAAAAACTGCTAGTCACTTTCTGGAAATTGCTTTGTTTCCACATTTTCCCACATTTTCCCACATTTTTCCCACATTTTCCCGGACAAATGTGGGGTTCTCACATCTTTTCCACGGCAGGCGCTCAGAGTCGCTGGAGTGGCTGAACGACTTGGTCCTTCGGCTGTGGCCCAAGATCGACCTGGCGGTGCAGAAGATCATCCATGACCAGGTGTGGATGAGGTGGTTGATATGGGTATGGGTCAATACCTATAGATACATTTTTAGTGGGATGAACATCCATTTACCAGCTATTTTGGGGTTCACTAGGTACCAGGGTTTTGACCCATCCCCATATGTTGGTACCCTCTGGTAAACTAACAGTTTGCTATGGAAAGATCCACCATTTTATAGCTGGGAAAATCCACTATTTCAATGGTGATTTTCCATAGTTATGTAACAAATTACCAGAGGGTATGTTGTGGATCTGGGGGGTTGATATGTTGGGGCCTGTTGGGTTGGTTGGTCAATGATGTGTTTTTTTCATTGTTTTAAGACGTTTTCTGGTGTTTTTTTTGTGAGTGATGCTCTTTTTGGTTGGTTTGGCAGAGGTGGATTTTGCGAGACGGTGGTGCTTGGAGGATGGGTCGTGAGTGGTAAGTGGCGTAATGGGGGCCTGAAGATTTTCTCCTGTCCTATGGATTGCCAGGTAACGCCGCAGTTGCAAGAGAGCCTTCCCGGCCCTTTCAAAGGTGCGGTAGGGAAGCGCTTGGAGCATTGTTTCTCTGCTTGGCACCATGGATTGTCAACTGTGAGTAGGCCAAAATTGAAGGTGGATCACAGATGATTTTGGATCATTTTGGTATGAATGGTACGACTAGAGACAAATTGGCTACACTCCTAAAAAATCAAAGATGCAACACCAGCAGAAGAAACATGGTCCAAATTTTCTAAATTGCAACATAGTTGGCAATTTCAATTTGTTGTTTAGTCTTGAAAAAAGAACATCGCCAACAAAATTATCATCCACCAACTTCCCACCATGGGCCCGGTGGCCTTCCCATGGCGCAGGCACCTACTTCAAAACTTTCAGCCTGGGGCAGAAGACGCCAAGACTGGGACCCATCCAGGTCTGTCAACGCGAGGAGATGGGAGTCAACATCGAAATGAAGGATTTCATCTTACTGTAGTATTTTTATATTATATACATTTGTATGCATAGTATTTAAATGGTATCTTACAAATTCATACATTCTATTTGTTTAAAAGACATATGGTCTCTAAGTTTAAGTTTGTGCAAATGTCCAAAAGCTTTATACTCAGAAAATGACATGACTCAGAAAAAATACATATGATCATATGGGGGTTTCCTGAAAAAGGGGTACCCCCAAATCATCTATGTTAGTAGGATCTTCCCTTATAAACCACCAATTTTGGGGTACCCCGGCACCCCCATTTATGGAACCCCCATATGATTTAGAAACACTATGTCCCATCTCTCCATCTCCGTAGGACGGCTTGAAGCTGATCGTGGACGTGGACTTCCAATCCGATGTGAACATCGACATCTCCGCGGTGGTAGCCTCCATAGGCGTCAAGAGCATCTCCCTGCACCTTGGCCTTGGTGAAAGATGCTTGACATCACCTTTTTTGGTGGTTGAATAGTAACACAACTTCCCAAAAGAAGTACTGGTATGTTTGTAGAGGGAATATGAGCAAACCTGAGTTGGGAACAAATGTTGGGATCACATGAGTGGATTCTTGAGCCATGTTGTGCTGAGTCTCAACCGGACCATGTTGAGCATGCGGAGTCTGGCAGTCCCCAAACACAATTTTCTTGCAACCATTCTTTATATATTGCATTCTACATCCTGTATATATATATATACACAGTATGTATGTATTTTATATACTGCATGAAGGATCCGGTTTGAAAAGAACAAACATATACATCTAATTTGAAACGGCGCGCTGTGCGCTTAGATATCTACTTAATATGTTCATGATAATCCCTTCCGCCTAAAATTAGATACCACCTTAGAAACCCTGGTTTAGTATTGGAACTATTCATTTGGGGGCTCAAATGGGGGATATTCAATGCTAGGGAGAGGGGCTTAGTAGCTTCCAAAATCCTCTTTAGCCATCTACCCACGGATTTTGCTTGATTGTCCTATTATCAATGATTACTATCCCAATCATAGTCGGTGAATATTGAAACATATTCCACATGTATATATATATATTATATTATATATTATATATTATATATTATATTATATATAATATATATATATTATATTATACATATTATTAAGAATCCAAATTATTCTATATAACCCCCAGAAACTAGTTCGATATATCATACATCCAATAATGACGTGGCAGCAGCTTACAATACTGATAGCTTCCAAAGTGCTGGCTGTACTTGGATGTACCACTTACGATTTATGGGATGCCCAACTTGGAGGATAATCGAATTGCAAAGAGGTAACCCTGGTGATCGGAACTCCCTATTCAGTGGGTTATCCCGTCTATCTATCTATGTCTATCTTTACCTACGTCTATCTTTATCTAAATCTATCTTTATCTATCTTTGTCTATATCTATCTTTACCTGTGTCTATCCTTATCTATATCTATTTTTACCTATGTCTATCTTCACCTATGTCTATTTTTACCTCTGTCTATCTTTGTCTATATCTATCTTTATCTATATCTATCTTTATCTATATCTATTTTTTACCTTTGTCTATCTTTACCTATGTCTATCTTTATCTTTATCTATTTTTGTCTATGTCTATCTTTATCTAAATCGATCTAAATCCATATCTATCTTTATCTATATCTATCTTTATCTATGTCTATCTTTACCAATGTCTATCTTTACCTATGTCTATCTTTACCTATATCTATCTTTACCTATGTCTATCTTTACCTATGTCTGTCTTTATCTATATCTATCTTTATCGATGTCTATCTTTGTCTATATCTATCCTTACCCATGCCTATCTTTATCTATATCTATCTTCATCTATACTTATCTTTATCTATATCTATCTTTGTCTATATCTATCTTTACCTGTGTCTATCCTTATCTATATCAATTTTTACCTATGTCTATCTTCACCTATGTCTATTTTTACCTCTGTCTATCTTTGTCTATATCTATCTTTATCTATATCTATCTTTATCTATATCCATTTTTACCTTTGTCTATCTTTACCTATGTCTATCTTTATCTATATCTATCTTTATCAATGTCTATCTTCATCTAAATCGATCTAAATCCATATCTATCTTTATCTACATTTATCTTTATCTATGTCTATCTTTGCCAATGTCTGTCTTTACCTATGTCTATCTTTATCTATATCAAATTTAACCAATGTCTATCTCTACCTATCTCTATCTTTATCGATGTCTATCTTTGTCTATATCTATCTTTACCCATGCTTATCTTTATCTATATCTATCTTCATCTATATTTATCTTTATCTATATCTATCTTCATCTATATTTATCTTTATCTATATCTATCTTTATCTATATATATTTATCTTTATCTATTTCTATCTTTACCAATGTCTATCTCTATCTATCTCGATCTAACTCGATCTATCTCGATCTATCCAAGCACCCATCCATCCATCCATTCATCTATCTATCTATTTATTTATCTACCTATCTATTTCGGTCTATCCATCCAGCCATCCATCGATCTATCTATCTATCTATTTATCTATCTGTCTATCTATCTTTCCATCTATCTATCTATGTCTGCCTATCTATCTATCTATCTATCAATCTATCTATCTATCTATCTATCTATGTCTGCCAATTTATCTGTCTATCTATCAGTCTATCTATGTGTCTATCTATCTATCTATCTATCAATCAATCTATCTATCTATCAATCAATCTATCTATCTATCTATCTGCCAATCTATCTTTCTATCTATCTGTCTATCAATCAATCTATCTATCTGTCTATCTATCTATCAATCTATCTATCTATGTCTACCAATCTATCTATCTATCATTCTGTCTATCTATCTATCTATCTGTCTGTCTGTCTGTCTGTCAATCTATCTATCAATCAATTAATCTATCTATCTATCTATCTATCTGTCTATCTATGTCTATCTATCTATCTATCTATCTATCTATGTATGTATATCTATCTATCTATGTATGTCTATCTATCTATCTATCTATCTGTCTATCTATCTATCTGTCTATCTATCCATCTGTCTATCTATCTATCTGTCTATCTATCCATCTGTCTATCTATCTATCTATCTATCCTTCTGTCTATCTATCGATCTTTCTATCTATCTGTCTATCTATCTATCCATCTACCTGTCTATCTATCTATCTGTCTATCTATCTGTCTATCTATCTATCTGTCTATCTATCTATCTATCTGTCTATCTATCTATCTATCTATATCTATCTATCTATCTGTCTATCTATCTATCTATGTATGTCTTTCTATGTATCTATCGATCTTTCTATCTGCCAACCTACCTGTCTATCTATCTATCTGTCTATCTATCTATCTATCTGTCTATCTATCTATCTATCTATCCATCTATCTATCTATCTATATCTATCTATCTATCTATCTGTCTATCTATCTATCTATGTATGTCTTTCTATGTATCTATCGATCTTTCTATCTGCCAACCTACCTGTCTATCTATCTATCTATCTATCTGTCTATCTATCTATCTATCTGTCTATCTATCTATCTATCTGTCTATCTATCTATCTATCTATCCATCTATCTATCTATCTATCTATCTATTTGTCTATCTATCTATCTATCTACCTATCTATCTGTCTATCTGTCAAACTATCTGTCTATCTATCTATCTATCTATCATTCTGTCTATCTATCTATCTATCTGTCTGTCTGTCTGTCTGTCAATCTATCTATCTATCAATCAATTAATCTATCTATCTATCTATCTATCTATCTATCTATGCTATCTACAAACACGAGCTGATGATCCCAGGAAGGGTCAGCTGATGATCCGCCTGGGTCCTTTGATCGACGAGATGCCGGTGGTGGGAGGCCTGACGGCCTATTTCAACGACATCCCCGAACTGGACCTGAACTTCACCGGGGTCGGAGACTGGGATAGCAGGAATGGGGCACACCAGCGACTTGGGTAGTTGTTGATACACTTGATTTGGTGCATTCTTTTGCAGTATATGTATAATATAATATGAATTAATGTAATATAATATGATATAATATGATATAATATAATATAATGTAATGTAATGTAATATAATATGATATAACACAACATAATATAATATAATATAATATAATGTAATGTAATATAATATAGATAAATCGGAATATTCGTTGACTAGCTAGAGATTTGACATTTTCTGCAGGGTATCTAGGATTGGCTAGACGGGATTGGAGTCTGGAGATGGCTGGATGGATGGAAATGTTTCTGTTAAGCTGTCAAGCACATTTTTTTTTCCCCAAAGAACAACGTTGAATATATGGGCATTTCACCCGAATAGCTGGATGGTTTATAATGGAGCATCCCATTAAAATGGATGATTTAGGGGTACCCCCATTTCAGGAAATGCCCATATATATATATATATATGTATATGATATATATATATGATATATATATATATATATGATATATGTATCTTTTTTTTACCGGGAATCATTGACCCATCACAGGCAAGTGGCCCCCCCAGGAAACGTGGCCGACATGCCAGTGTTGTATGGCCTCATCAAGAAACAGATCAGCCAGGCCCGGTGTGGAGATTCATTTTCCTATCCGATAAGATGAGATGTTTACTCTGGCTATGGATTTTAATGGTGATTTAATGAGATATAATGGTGATTTAATGGAACATAATGAAAACATAGTGGGATATAATTGATATAACCATGAAAACGAACAGTTTGCTATGGAAAATCACCATCCTTTAATAGGGAAATCGACTATAAATGTGCCAATTTTCAATTAATAATAGCTTTGTTCTTTTACCAGAAAGTAGCACATTTGCACAAAGTCATGCACGCAGTTTTAATCTGGGACCCTGCTCCTGGCAAGTATCGGAATCCACGATTCATATGGCAATGGCCAGTTTTTCCCGTGGGGGGCCCCAAAGCAGTCGGGGTCATGGAACCGCCAGTGACCTGGGTCACATCCCAATCTTGGGATCGAACGGACGGTAGATGAGAACCCACTGCCAGCCCTGCCACAATCTGTGAAAGGACACCGTCCCTTGATCTTTCTTCATAGGTCCCTGCAGGTGTGGCTGTAGGTGAGGCCCTAAGTTGGAACCTTCAAAGCACAGGGATAGACGCTGGAAGATCTCTGTCTCTCTCTCTCTCTCTCGGAATGTCCCATTGATGCAGATTGAAGATGGGACTGTCATAAAAGCAAGGAGTCTTGCTGAGCGGAGTTTCATCGCCACTTCCTTTAGTTTGCTCAACTTCTACCTCCAAACTCCGTGCAACTTTGCAGCTACCCTTCTGTTTCTACATGAGTCGAAAACGCAAATCGAGAACACGCTAAAACGGGACTATAACCTGGTATTTCCCGATTTCCTAACCAGTCATTTTCCAATTTCTTGCTGGGGAATTTGGGATTTCAGTGCCAGGTATCCCCAGGCCAGATATATATATATATTTCGTATCCAGACCGGTGTCTGGACACTGTCTGGACCGCATCAGCCAGGCCATCAACAACGCCATCGTTCTGCCCAACTGCATTGCTGCGACTCGGCGCGATCCGATCCCAACTGGTCCGAGAAAAACGGGGGAGTCTGAGAGCTGAACAAACTTTTCCTGCAGCAGTTCGTCTATTATCAATACCCTGTAATTACAGTACATATATAATATCTATACGTATATATATATATATATACGTATAGATAATAACATATATATGTATAATTATAACATACAGCGGAAAGGTTAGATAAGAACGGAATAAGACTTTTCCAGCCTACCCTGGGGTTCTTAAGTCCTATCTGTGGAAAAATACTTCCTTCTCAAAGGGATTGGAATACGCCCTCATCATACCCCAGTCTTCCTTCCTCACGTACGCTACGGCTGGATCCATAGGGATATATATTTACAGATTTTGTCCCGTCATCAGACATCGATTTTGACCGATTTTGACCCTTCGTTTTTTGACCAAATTCTCGGATATGTATATACGTAAGTATACCCTCCAGGAAATTCACTTAGACCCTGAAAAATTACATTTTTTTGTCCAATCCCCTACGTCCACGGGGAGGGAATAATCAAAATCAAATAAAATCATATATTGTTTACGCATAGTTATATTATAAGTACCAGAGTGTAATTGGTATTGTTTATTAATAGTTACGGTAGATTAGTTCTTACCGTCCGATCGGAACTTCCGGTAATCAAACATGGCAATGGAAGATCTCCAATTTATGGTGGATTTGCCTCCATTTCTTGGGGATTTCCCAGCAAACCACGTTGGATGACGAGGGTATAGATGGCCAAACCATAAGTTGGGATATATCCCCACCTTACCCCTATAATCAATGAGAATTTCAGGATCCTAAAATGGAGGTACTGTACCATATAAGGCCATATTTTGTGGGGATATTCCCTTACATAGGCCTTATATAGGCCTTATATATGGTAGGTACCTCCAATTTAGGTTCCTGAAATGGCCATTGATATAAGTTGAGATACTGTAATTGTGCTTTTATACCCACTTCTTTTCATGGAACTCATGGTATTATAACCTTCCAAAAAGACTTCTGAGTTGGGATATAACCAAATTTTTTTCACAACTATTTTTCGTTGGGATAACCATGGATTAGGGTTTCTGCAGGTGCCGTTGGCGACGGAGCAGCAGGGCGTCGATCCGGCCTTACTGAGAAAGCCCAAGCCTTTGGCCATGCTGCGGGTCGCTCGGTCAGATCAATAAAGGATTAAATCTAACACAGATATAACATGTTATAACCCTTTATTATCAACTAAAGATCCTTATATTGATCTTTATGTTGTATATTATCTCAGTAAAGGGGTAAGTCTATGAATTAAGTCTAGGGATTATACATATATGAAATATGTATGACCTAACTCATAGAACTCATAGTTGATTGGGCTATTAGATATGACAGATTATGAACTAAGAACCAGTTGGGATATTAAAAATGCGAATTTAATGGATTATTATAACCAGTTAGAACCAATTAATAATTGGATCATAACTATTATGTCCCATTAATCACCACTAATGTGGGTAAAATAATACCATAAACCAGCCATGACTGGGAATGGTAACCATACCACCTATAAAAATGGTGATGACTGGGGGATGGTGTATTATTGTTTTACCAACATTATAGGGATTATGAACTAACTAACTCATAGTTGACTGGGATATTAGAGCCAGCGGTTATACCACCTGTTTGATGTGATCTAACCATCATTTAGAGGATTTTGTAGGCGGTTATAACATGTTATAACAGTTATAATCATCAAGTATATGGGGATATAGTTGATAACTGCTGGTTATTATAATTTTTGAAATGGGGATTGTGCTGGCATTATGAACTAACCCATAGTAGGAAAACCTATCAACTAAGTAGTATGATGAGATGGGATAGGGGTATTTTTCATGGCTCATTTAATGGGTATGTATGTATGTGTCTGTGTATGAGCATGTCTATGTCTATGTGTATGTATTGGTATACAAACAACAAGGTTTTTTTATTTGGTTTTGTCCTTTTTTCAAGTGGGGGAGAACAGCCAAAATATTGCTATATTTTTTTGGGGGAACATTGAGGAACATGATTTTTTCTCATCAAAACAGATGTGGAGGACCATATTTTCAAACAGACCTAAATGGATGGATGTTGACGATGTTTGTGTTTTTGAGGAAGTTCATTGCAGGTACCCTCTGGTAAACTAACATAGCCATGGAAAATCACCATTTTTAATGGGAAAATCCACTATAAATGGTGATTTTCAATAGCAAACTGTTAGTTTACCAGAGGGTAGGGACATTGGTATCGCTCATATAGTGAGAATGTCAGAGTTTGGCCTTTTCCCTATTTGTGAATATCGGATTTTGCCCAGTAAACTCAATCAAAAGTGCTATATAAGTGGTTGGTAAACTGAACTTGAACATTCAAAGATTGTAGTTTTACCAGATACATGTCTTCGGAAGCATTTGGATACTTGCTGGTTGCTGATACTGTAATCTTTTGCGACTCCCGTTGTGATCATTATTCCGCCTTTGGATGGTGATGTTGATATTCTTGATTGTAAACATTTTGGGGCGAAGCAACTTTGTCCAAAGCCCTATTGTTGATCCTACAATTCAGTAAACGTTCATAGTGTTGGACAATCCACCATTGTTTGGCAATCTCCCAAGGAAACTATGGTTTTTTCGTATCTATTGTTGGTTTGTTCCAGGGACTCCCAAAATCGCCCAATCATGTTGGCAAACGAAACCAAATACCAAATCATACCAAATCCCATGAAAAACCATATTAAATCCCAGAAATCTCCATGTTCCCTCATTTTTTCCACTGGAAACAGCTACGGTTGACGCGGCCTTTTTTAAAAAAGGCCACGGCTCTGCGTGCGTCGAAGCTTCCGGCCATGGACTGGAACCTGGTGGGGAAGTCTTCCAGCGATCCCTTCGTGACGCTTAACGAACGGAGGTTTTGACGTTGGAAATGGGGATTGGTACCATATATGGTATATTATGGTAATGATAATGGGGGTTACCATATATTGGTAATGATAATAATATATGGTATATGTTTAATATATGGTTTACTAAGATCATTACCATATATTATTATCATTATCATTATCCATTGATGCTATGATTGGAATATACTAAAATCATTATCATTATTATCATTATTATCATTATTATCATTATTATCATTATTATCATTATTATCATTATTATCATTATGACTATATGGAGGCTGATGGAGGTGTCCGGAAATGGGGAATACCCAATAGCTGGATGGTTTAGTTCATCGAAAATCCATCTATAAATGGATGATGCAAGGGGATAGTCATGTGATAGCCTCGGATAGCCATTGGATCCACGGAAAATGGAAAACGGAGATAGAACATGATATGACTATGATATAACCAACTAACCATGGTTTTAATATGTTTTAATATGTTTTAATATGCTTTAATGGATGAACGAACGAACATATGAACATAGATTGACATAGTTGTCCCAAATTCCCACTGCTGGGTTGAGGCTTCCCCCATGAAAACCAATAGAACTACACCGCCCCTGAGGACTGCATCCATGGGATCCCACAAAGAGCATAATGATCAGCCAGGAGATGGAATGCATCCGATTTTCAAAATTGAAATGGGTCAAAGTTGGATGTTTCAACCAAGAAAACTTCTCGGAAACCAGGGATTCTACTTGGTATGAACTATAAACCAAAGATAAATTGGGATGGTAAGTCCAAAGTTGGTACGACATGGTTGGACCAGGAAAAAGTGTGCAGTTCACCCTGACGCAAGTGGCTCAATCTGGCTGTTCGGCTTGAAAATGAATGGTTCAACCGCCGAAACCAGGGGATTTCAGTGTTTAGCCTTGTCATCCCAAAACTCGATGCGCCCAATGGCTGGGATAAATAGGAATTATACCCTCCGGTCATCAATCATGGTGTGCTAAAAAAATCTTTCATGTGTACCCTCTGGTAATTTAACATAGCTATTGAAAATTGCCATTTATAGTGGATTTACCCATTAAAAATGGTGATTTTCCATAGTTATGTTAGTTTACCAGAGGGTACCCTGCAAAAACCAGCCAGATTTCTCCAGCAGCGTTTTGTCCCAGCTGCGCCCCTTTTGCATCTGAGTTGCACCTTCCGATTTGCCCAGTGCGAAAAAAGTTGCCGCCGTGGCACTAAGGAAAGTCACCGTGGCCAATGACAGCTGGAGCAGTTCGGTGGTGAAGCAAAGCTGTAATCCCACCTGGAGCGACGAGGATGTGCACGACTTCGTGGTCACCCGAAAAAAATCCTCATGTTTCGAATATGTTTTCGTGATATTCTACAGCTGGGGATAGTTGGGATCAACTTTTGTATTTTTGTTGAGATCTCTTGAAATTGATCAGATTTTTGGAGAGTCAAGGTCTTTATTACATTCTGAAACGAAGAGAAATCAACCGTTTTTTGCACATCCAAGGTCCCAAGCTGAGCACACGAGATGGTTTGGTTCAGTAGCTGGATGGTTCAGTAGCTTGCTCCCATTGCAACCATCAGCCATCAGCTACTGTACCCTCCAGTCATTTAGGGACAATCACCGAAAGTTGTTGGGGATTTTTCATGTCAAATGACCAGAGGGTGACTCGCTTCCGCCCAGTCGAAATGCTGGCTTCATCCTAAGGTTTTTGACCAGGATCAGCACATTTGGTTGGAAGTCTATGACAAGGCCCCTGGATGGATCTGGATGGCACAGCCACTAAGTCCTTCGCATGTTGATCACAGCAAGCAGGTCAGTTTCTATCAGAAGATTGGTTGAAGGGAAAATCTACACAGTAACATATTGAGAAAGACATTAATTATATATAATTTACTGTGTATTTTCCCTGAAATGATCCCTATAATCAAAGTTTTTGGTATCCACAGACCCCAAACCTCCTAGGGGCAGCATTTCGCATCCCTAAATGTTGGAACTGGTGTTTGGTAGGTGGTATTTTCGGGGAAAATCATCGAACTCTTCATGGGTTTTCCACCATGATTACCAGAGGGTAGTCACTTGCTGGTTGTCGTGATGAGTTTCCATGCGGGATAGCCTCGGAGACTGACCATCTATGAGCTATAGGATTAGGATGGTTAGAAGGTGAACTATGATTGGAACAGCTGTACTGTATTCGCAAGAAACCTTTGTTGGGGCAGAGCTTTACTTTTTTTGGCCAGCTGGGTGGGAAATTCATGGACATTGACTGCTAAAAAGCGACTTTGTATGTATGTAGCCATGATTGTCAATGACTATGAACAGCTAAACATCATAGCTATTGCCTACATATTCAATCATCCAGGTATCCATACGTCAGGGTAGCCATGTTCAACGGAGGACATGCTGTCCTCTGCGGACCTCATTGGCAAAGCCCAGCCTCTGAAGGTTGGGGTGCCAGGAGGAACGGATGATGACTGTGGGCTAATAAGGCTAATATCCCCATACTTTGGATTTGCGACCTTAGAATTATGGGACCCCCCAAATTTGATACTTTAGAGCACCCATGCTACTGACACATGGCAAGTTGTGAGTATCCGAATTTTCCGTAAAGCAACAATGGGCACACAAAAAGCAGTTTTGCACGCTCTTCAGGCTAGAAGAATGGGGTTGCAATCCATGACCATGGTGAGTTTTTGGAGCTGTATGCCAGTGATGACGGGAACGCTTACGATCACCAATGATGGTGATCACCGCTTAAGATGCCTGGGATGGTGTAGGGATCAAACTCATTGGGTGGTAGAATTTGACATGTTATGTTTTTGTACAGTACCTCTTTTGGTCGACATGTCAGGCCTGAAACAAATGCTTAACATTGCTTTAGTTTACATAATCTTCTCGCACTTCAATTTGAAGTCTTCAACACTCAGATGATGTCGTAGTTGGTGATTTCCCCCCATGCAACATCTTCCCACCAATTTACATGGTCTGAAACCTCGGTGGAGGGAGGTGGATCTCATTAGGAGTCCCATGTGGGGAGCTTCGCTGATAAAATGCTTGTGGAATGGGATCACCTCCATTGAGATAGTGGAACCCCAACATGATATCGTGATGTGCCACTTCAGTTTTCATTTGTTAAACACAAGAATTATGTGCTGGTTTTTTCTTTCAGGTTATCAGTGGGGATACCACAATCATCTCAAATTTGGCGTGGCTCATTCCATTACCACCCGGAAATGGATGGTTGAATACTTCATCGGCACATTTTGTGGGTCCTTAAAGGTACAAGGTGGTGACCATCAAATATGTTTGTTGGTTTATGAACTGCAAGAACAATAGATACAGTAATTATATGTACGTAAAAAAATAACAAAAAATATCTGCTAGTACTACAAAGAAAAACACCAGTTCACCTACTTATATTATATACCAACATAGCTAACCTTGGGACACCACCTTTTGTATACGATTCACATATTTCGCCACAGGTGTCGAATGCGATGGCAGAGTCGGAAAAAGCTCTTGAGCTCTCGGACCCCGATATAGTTTGGCCTCTCGGGGGGTCAGTTTGGAACGACTCTCTGGAAATGATATTTCCATACCCTCCGGTCATCAAACATACCCTCTGGTTATGTCAAAATAGCTATTGAAAATGGTGATTTATAGTGGATTTTCCCATTGAAAAATGGTGATTTTCCATAGTTATGTTAGTTTACCAGAGGGTAACAATTGAATATCTCCTATAAATTTTTCGGTTTGAGTGGGAAAATCTGACTATAAATGGGTGATGAATAAATGCCACGTAGCTATGGAAAATGACCTGTTTAGTTTGATGATTTATCAAACATGGTGATTTTCCATGGCGAACTGTTGAATTAGCAGAGGGTATCCAGTGGTGAACGGAGGGGTGAGCTGAGCGAACTGTTTGCATCCATCTTCCCCTGTAAAGTGGGGAGCCAACAAGCTACGAATTGAGTTTCCCAACAATGACAGACATGATTTTCCAAACCATGGGATTTGCGGCTCTATGGGGTACCTCGTTTTCAGACAATGCCAGTTACGGGAACACAGGAATGGGGACTTCAAGAACAGCGGAGTTGTAAAGCTCTGGCAATTCCGGGCATATCCAAGTCGGTAAAGAAGAGTAGCTAGAAAGTTCGCATTAGAAGGCAATGTCGCGCCTCATGGGAATCTATCGATTTTTCGTATGCCAGGATTATAGTTATGGGCCATGGGCCAATCCACAATGTGTGGATCAATCCTCCCAATTTTCTTGTTTTATATTCCATGTTTTCCTTGCGGGTCATTTTTAAAAAGACCACAAAAACATGGGTATCATGATGGGTAAATCATCTAGAAATGGGTCATCTAGAAATGGGTCATCTATATTTCTGGATACCAGCAGTTCCCTTCCATGTTCACCTTCCATGGGGGCACCTCGCAGGATGGCTCCAAGAGCTGCGGGAGCCTGCAGATGAAGTTCCAGTGGCTCACCCTTTCGGATGAAGTTTCTCCTGACATAGCGCCATGGTGTGGAGCGGGGTGAAGGCTACAGGGACTACAGGGGCTACAGGTCTCTGGGGCTCTCAAAGGATTTTGAATTTTCGAGCATCAAACATGAGTGAGGACTTGATCAACAAAAACTGGGATTTAGATACGTTTTCTGATAGGTACCGTATGATAGGTATGTTGGTTTATAACTGGGCTACGTTTATGGATGTATCATCTATGGTTAGATGGATGTCTTGAACCACCTTATACCCAGCCAAGCAGTATGGGAGAAATTTGTGGAGATCCAACCAATTTCCACCTCGGAATGATGCAGCCCCTCTGCATTTTTGCTGTTCTCAAGAATCTATGATAAATCATGTTTACATGTGTAATCATGTGTACATATATTATGTATAATATACATACACACACAATTGTGTATACATAACTGCATATATATAATTGTATAGTTGTATAATAATGTTGTATATATGTTATATAAATTATACATATATATATATAACTTATGTATATACATTCTGCGTGTGTATCATTAACGTGTCTTATACAGGTACTGCTGGCTCGCAGCTCGAGCCCATTCCGAGGCCGGCTGCGTGGTGATGGTCGAGGTGCAACAGTTGATGGCCAAAGAAGCGGCCTCCATGGTGGCCAAATTGGGCAGCCAGGCACAGCTGCGCTTGGTGAGCGATGGCATGGGATTTTTTTTCTGGACATTTCAGGGGATTCAATGGGATTTATAAAATTGGTTGAGCAGTGTGTTCGACACCCCTGTTGCTTGGTTGATGTTTTCTTGTTGCTTTTTGTTGGATTTTACCTTCATAGGTACTTTTTTTTTTTCTGAGTTGACATGTTGATAAATTATTGTTGATTGATTAGTGCTGGGGTTATACTATCCTCTGTATATAGTTGATTATCACAATCCATGAGCTGGGAAATCTTATTCACCAACCAGTATGTTTAGGGACCACAGAGGGTTTCGAACACTGCTCGATTGGGAAATTTCCATGATGGGAATATGTATGGTTTGATGGCATCCAATAATGATTACTGTATAGGAAATTGAACCAATGGTAATACTGGCTACAACCCCAAATGATCTGGATTGCATTGGTTTACTGTATTGTTTTTTAAGGCATAAACATTGGTATAACTCCATCAACCATGGGGATATATCAACCACCATCAATAATGGTTGTGCCCATTTTCAGTGAGCTGAGTTGGTTTATTTTCCTAGATGATTTAACCGTTGGGTTTATGGTTCTTATACCTATAGTTGGATGGAGTTTTTTTTAACCAACTAGTGGTAGGTTAAAAAATGGCTACATCTATATCCTTCAACACCTAAGTTGTTGATCGTTTTCGGAGGATGCACATCCAAAGAATCCAAAGATCCCAAGGATTTTCTCGTTGGGATGATCCAATGATTTGGGGCAACGCGAAATACGCCGTGGTGTTTTTGATGTGCCAACAAAAAGGGGGCTGAAATATGCTGAATTTTGGAATTTTGGAAGTGTCAAGTTTGTCAAGTCACGATCTGTTTTTTTATCCATGTCAGCCATCACTATCTCGTGACAGTGATGTGTTTTTCATCACGTTTACCCTTTGGTAATTTAACGTAGCTATTGGAAATGGCACATTTATAGTTGACTTCCCTATTAAAAATGGTGATTTTCCATAGCTATGTTAATTTACCAGAGGGTAACTGGCTGCTTAACTGGCTGAAGCCCATGGGTTTTTGCTGCTTCCACCAGGAGAAGCGCACTGACACCATGGGTCCCAGCGAGACCGCCGAGCCCAGTGAGGAGCAGAAGCTGCGCTTGGAGGTGGCCAGGTGCAACGCGAAATGGGAAGGGAATGGGGAAAAAAAAACAGGAATTTTAAGGAAATTTCAGGAGAAATTACCATCATTTGGGAATTAAACCAAACAAAACTGTTTATAGTTTACAGATGTTAATCCTGTAGCGTGGTATAGTGTAGTGTGGTCTAGTGTATTGTAGCATAAACTACTGCAGTTGTAGTTGTAGTGTAGTGTCGTGTAGTGTCGTGTAGTGCAATGTAGTGGTAGTTGCAGTTGTAGCGTAATGTAATGCAATTAGTGTGGTGTAGTGTTGTGCAATGTAGTGTAGTTCTAGTTGTATTTGTATTTGTAGCTGTATACTGTACTGCAGTTTAATTAGTGTATTGTAGTGTAATGTAATGTAGCTGTCATTGTAGTTGTAGCGGTGGTGGTGGTGGTGGTCGTAGTAGTCGTAATCGTAGTCGTAGTCGTAGTCGTAGTCGTAGTCGTAGTCATAGTCGTAGTCGTAGTCGTAGTCGTAGTCGTAGTCGTAGTGGTGGTGGTAGTAGTAGTAGTAGTAGTAGTAGTAGTAGCTGTTGTAGTAGTTGTAGTGTAATTAGTGTAGTGTAATTAGTGTAGTGTAATTAGTGTAGTGTAATGTAATTAGATGTAATTAGTGTAGTGTAGTGCAATTAGTGTTGTGTAGTGTAATTAACTTAGTGTTGTGTAATGTAGCGTAATATATTTGTACTTGTAGTTGTAGTAGTAGTGTAGTGTACTGGTACTTGTAGTTGTAGTTGCAGTTGTAGGTGTCTATCTATCTGTCGAAGCTATTCTGCGAGACTTCTTCATTTTTCAAAGTTGACAACATCAAAAACGAAGCAATTCTGCGAGACTTCCTTAATTTTTGAACTTGACAACGTCAAAAACGAAAGAATTCTGCGAGGCTTCCTCATATTTCGAAGTTGACAACATCAAAAACGAAGCAATTCTGCGAGACTTCCTTCAAACATGGAAAGTTGAGTGCAGAGCTGACGGCCTCATACCAATGCGTTTTGCAATTTTTCCACTCCACCTGTCTAAAGTATTGCGCCTGCCATGAAAAAGTGAGGCCAGGTCATATGAAGTGCTGCACTTGTCACGCAAAATCATCTTCCCAATACTGAAGATCTGATGCTCCAAAACGCAACCTCTCTCAGGAAATCAGCGCCCGGACCTCCTAACGTCTCTGAGAAGATAAACATGTCTCTTGTACTGCGCCTGCCACGGAAAATGCATCTTTGCAGATCCTCTTCAAATGTCCCACGCCTGCCATCGTTTTTGGAAATGCTACAAAACCCTCACGTTTTGCTCACTTTTGACAAGGTGCACAATCCCTTGCTGTGGTGTTTTTAACATTTTGACTTCGAAATGTGCTTCGCGCCACAACGGCGTGCACTTTTTCGACATCTCAACTTCCAAAAGTGTTCCGAAGCTGAGGTGTTTTGTACATTTTCACTTGGAAATGTGCTTCGCGCCACAACGGCGTGCAATTTTTCATTTTTCATCTGGCCAGATTGCTCCGCACCCGCCGCTTTAGCGAGCCTACTTTTCGACCCTCCAGAGCCACAAACCATTGGAAAAACACAGTGTTTCGCGACTTTCCTATCTTTTCGCGCACCTGGACTTTCTTTCTTCGGAGTCTTTCGCTTTTTGATCTTCTTTCTTCTTCTGACTCTTCCCATCTCTGCTTTTCATCTGTCCATATTGTCGGAAGTTTGACTTCTAAACTTCCTTCGGCTAATAATTGATAGTTAATAGTTATCATTACCCCCCTTATAATGAACAATAATTCACCATCATAAACGGGGATTTAAGCAATGGGTAATGATGAAAATGGATTTCAATTCAGTGGGATTTCATGGTTATTCACCATTGGATAAGATGGGTGTGTCTTTATCATAAGTATTTTGAACAGGGCAATTTCATGGCAATTTTCGATGGTGATTCAGCATGGGATGGAATGATGTTGTAACTCGAGTGATGCCATATCCCCCAATTGATATGGGAACATAATCCCTTCCCCCTGATGTTAAACACTCCCAAGAAAACATGTTGATACAGCTGTAACCCAGTTCTGTTCACTTGAAACAGGCGCTGCCAGGCCGAGGGTTTGGATGAGGCGCGTTTAAAAATTGGCGGTCTGGAGGTGAAGTGGATCGTTTTTGTTCTGCGGTCATTGAACGAAATCAACATAGCTATGGTAATGGGGATATCATGGGATATAATCAAATTTACCCTTTGGTAATTTAACGGTTTGCTATGGTATAGATGACCCATTTTTAGATGATTTACCTCTTAATGCTGGGGATTTTATATTTTTCTACCTGTCAAATTACAGGAGAGTAGTTGTTGTAGGTCTTGACCCCCATTGTTGGGACTTCTTGATGGGTCTCGCGATTCTTGTGGCTTCGATCCGGTGGGGGTTTTGAGCTTAAGTGGATCCTAAGTACCCAGAGGTAAAAAAAAACGTGGCTGGCTTGGAAATCCCCTACTTTACAATGGACGTTTTAATGTGAATTCATTTATAAATGGGGGTTTTTCATTGCAACCTTTAATTCTCAGAGGGTAGAGTAAATCCATGTAAATCCTAGAATTGCTTGGGACGATTTACAGGAGGGCCTCATACGTGACAGGAAAAACCATGGTTACCACTTAAGATGTTCCTGTACAAACCAATCCAGTGAGGTTTCGCAGAATTGTCCACAATTTTTTCGTAGATCATTTTCTGGGGAAACACGGTGGATTTCTCCGCAAACCAATCTGTTGCATTCCCCGTCATCAGCATCCCCATTGTACCAGTAGAATCCCCACTTTTTCCCGTCATTGCTGGTCTTTTTCTGCCCTTGAAAAAGGGCAGGTATACGAATGTAAATGTACTATATACACTTCAGTGAACTAATGTAGATATGGACCGAGCATTGGAAAGCCATCATTTGTACATAGTTCATTTTCACGTGAACTAATTGATTCTACTGAGGAACAACAGATGTGGCCCTATTTGGGATGACATTGAGATGGGATCCCGGAGGTGGCGAACATTGATCCCAAACTTTACCGCTATGATTGGGGATAAAAAACCAGCATTTCCTGTAACATTTCCCATAGTCATGCCATAGTCCATTCCCCACTGATATTATATACTGTATATACTCCTAAAAATCCTGGGGCTGGGGGCTATTTATATAATACGCTTCTTTATTGCATCAAATAAGCATATGAATCCCCTATGTTTGTTGGTCAAATCCTCTTCCTGTCGAATCACCATTATTATCATGAATCCCAAGATTTTTCGTGGTTAAATCCCAAAAAAGATCCTTTTTTTCTTTGGTGAAATCAGCCCTCAGAAATCCCTATACCCTCTGGTTATGTCAAAATAGCTATTGAAAATGGCCATAGAAATAGTGAGTTTTCCCATTAAAAAAGCTCATTTTCCATAGTTATGTAAACGTTTACCAGAAAAATCCTAGAAAAGATCATGATTCTTTGGTTAAATCACCCCTAAAAATCCCCCCAAAAATCCCAAGATTGTTTCCATGGTCAAATCACCGCAACTCCCGATTTTCCGACGGTAAAAACCACCGCATTTTCCCAAGTCGAGGCCGCCACGGTGAAAATCTCGGGGCTCTCCAAGTCTGACCTGGCGACCGACACGCGCCACGGGCAAAGTGGTCCCATTGAGTCCCTTGGACATGGTGATAGTACCAAAAACCATCAGAAAATAGGGGATTCATGGTGACTTACCATGGATAAAATAGGAATTTATGATGATTTATGGATATTCATAGGGATATAAACCACAAAAATGGGATAATTATAGGGACTTATGGGGATTTATAGGGATGTAATTCTGAGGCGATGGGAACATAATTGGAAAAAAACCATCTGGTGTCATCAAACATGGCTATCTCAATGGAAAATCATTGGAACATATCTATAACTGGGGATATAATTTTATATAGTGCGATACCCTCTGGTAATCTAACATAGCTATTGAAAATGGCCCACTTATAGTTGATTTACCTATTAAAAATGGTGATTTTCCATAGCTATGTAACAAACTACCAGAGGGTAATATTGGATATAACAAGCCAACAATCAAAAATGGCAGGCTGGGAAATCCCCGAACTAGCCATGTGCCATGGGGGTTGATCGCTGAGAGAATGTTCTTAATCTAAATGAGTGATTTTCGATTGCGTTTGATTACCAGAGGGTATGCAAAAATAGAGGCTTGGATCAGCAAAAAATGGGGGAGTGGACCACAGATGGGGAGTTAAGATGGGGATGTCATCATGGGTAACCAATCAATAGTAATCAATATCAATACCCGCTTGGTGGCCTCAACATATCTCAACATATTGTTTCTTCCGGCTGTTTTCAAGGATCCAAAAGGACGAGCGCATTGCGGTTGAAAGCAAGCCAGTCAAACAAATAGGATGTTTTGAAGGAAGAATTGAGGAGTTTAGGTGCTTACCCTCTAACCCTTGATATAACGGTCCGAATTGGTTACCCTCTGGTAATTTGACATAGCTATTGAAAATGGGCATTTATAGTGAGTTTACCCATTAATAATGGTGATTTTCCATAGTTACGTTAGTTTACCAGAGGGTAGAACATGGGGATTTTCATAACAGCCGATTGGTGAGTTGGAAACCAACGTGAACGAAAAAACGTGGGCACCCAGTTGGACCCCCGAGGTTTCAGTCGATTTTCTACCTGTCCATCCCTCGCAAGTCCGCCTACGAAGATGAGGAGCTGACGCTGACGGCCGCTGGACCCTTTTGTCCGGACAGGGTGAACGCTGTGAAAAAATAGCATGATCAAAGATGATCAAACCTGATGACTGGGGTAAGTACGGAAAGTTTCCTGAAATGGGGGTACCTTCAAATCATCCATTTTAATAGGATTTTCCATCATAAACCATCCATTTTGGGGATACCCCATTTATGGAACCCCCATATAGCCTAGCTGTTTTACTGTTCAACGGTTTGGAATGTGGATGATGATCCCGGGACAGAAAAACACGATCTTTGGCGACCAGGCTATGTCCCTCTGCTACTTTCAAGGCCTTCCAATCCATTTTGCTGATAAAAACCATGTTCTAAGCCAATATAGACCAGTTATATTGGGGGATACCCTAGCTCTGTATGGCTTATTATGCCCTTTCTAACTGGAATGCACCAGTAGAAGCAACATCTTACAACTTTGTAATTAAGGGGTTTGTTACACGACCCTTGGTGGCTACCCTTGAGGCCTTAAACGCCAAGCAGAAGCCCTTTGAATCTTGTCATGGGGAACCGCACGTGGATGCTCCATGATGTGTGGGCAATGGTTTGCAAATGGGGTTGGCAGCCTGGTCCGTGGTGTCCGAGGTGTCCGGGTTGGTTGATGTGCTTGATGCTCTTTTGGGTATCATAGGTATCATCCCATTCTTCTGGCTGGTTCAAACAGGGGCGGCTGATTATTGGTCAGAATCATCTTCCCAGCGGGGACTAGGAAACCTGGAAAATTCCAAGATCGTCATGGTGATGGACTGAATTCAGTTGGGTTTCTATATACGATGGTAACATCATGTAACCGGATGCATCAAGACCTGGTCGCACTCTTTAGGAGGATGGATCTCCGGTGTTATTTATCAGCTATTTTGATGTGAAAACTAGGGAAATTGAATGAAATTGATGGGTTTTGATCCATAAGCATATGACTGGATTATGATATGGCAATGATATGGCTACAGTATGCTACAATAGAAATTTACTCACTGGGATCAGAAAACAGCATGGGTCCACGGCGATCGAGGCCGAAAGCGTCTTAAAGATGTCGGAGCTCTTGGAGAAGAAGTCCCTGCGACTGGAGCGACTGCAACTTCGTGCTGGAGAAGGCGGCGGCCGAAATCGGGCCAGTGGAGGTTGTTTTTTCTGCCAGTGGATCCAGAGTCATAGTCATTTCTATCTATAAAAACTGTTAAAGATTGAAATTTTAATCAACCAATGTCATTCATGTGCTATTGAGACATCGTTGATATAGATTAAACTATATCCATTCTGCTTGGCTGAAAAATGGCCATCGCCATCTCGCCCCATGGATGGCCATCCTGCCGATATGGGCAATCTGCACCGGAAAAATCACCTGGCTTGGGAAGATCTCGATCTCGGGGTCCTCCGATATGTAGAATTCTATTGTGATTCCTGTGAAATCTGGTTAAATCGTTTCCCCCCATGGTTTCTTTGGTTCGATCCGTTCGATCCCCATGTCTTCTGGCTCAAAGCCACGTTCTGTTGGTTGAAAAAACAGAATTTCTATTGGTGAGATCTGGTTTAAAGTCCCAATTTTGTGCCTTGCAAAAACTAAAACCATCCCTAAAACCCCAGGATCCACCGAAAAACCATCCAAATCCATCCCCAAACTGGTGACTTAGTTAAAACAATGTTAAAACCATCTCAAACCATCTCAAACATCCATGATGTCCATCTGAAAATCCATCCCAAAACCATGTTAAAACCATAAGATCCAGGCTCTGAGGCTGCAACCTGCTGCAGCATGGAGGATTCTGGTGCCGAAGGTGCGAGCTGACGTGGTCCTGTGGGGAGTCAATGGCTTTGTTCAAAAATAGGATTATCTTTTGGTAATGGGAAACACTTACAGATGTTAGATGTTGGATTTACCATATGTCCTTTATCACTTGGATAATCTTTAAACATGGCCATTCAGATAATGGGAAATCTATGGAAATCTTTAATGGAAAATCATCATTTTTTCACATGACGAAGCAGGGGATTTTATCCACATCCGTACGCATGCAATCATGGATCATGAGCAATGGATAAGCAGCAATGATAAGCATTAAACTGCCTCAATACCACATCATGAATTACATCCATAGAATACAATATACATGAAGTAATCAAGAACATTAAACATTCGATGGACATCACATTAATCCCTTCTCCGTAATACAACCCCCCAGTAAATAAACACCTCAGGTAGTTTTTATTCTTAGGGGTATTTATTATTAGGGAACCAAAGTCGAAGTAATGTATAAAACTAAAATTTTCGATTTCAAAAGCAATTAAATTCCCTTTTAAAATCTAATTAAAATATTGCCAAAAATTGGATTTCGAAACTTTCCCCTAATATTCAATTTAGAACCTTATATAGTTAAAAAACTGAATTTTTCTATTTTAACAAACGGACCCTAATAAAAAACACCCGGGGTTAACTGGTTTTTATTATTAGGAGGTTAAATCTACAAATAGTAGCTTCATTTTTATATTGTTTTCTAAAGGGGATCAATTAAAAGTCAAATTGGCCGACCTCAAATTTTCCGAAATTGGAGATGGACCCTACTGTAGTTTTTATTATTTTGGGGGGTTTAGTAATAGGGGGAAGGGATTAATTCATATACATTATATATATATATAGATTGATTATCGATGATTGAAAACCATGACTAAATTAATTAACATCACCAGAATCAATCATGAATTAATCATCCATCTATATCAACCTGCTAACCATTCACTTTACAAGTAATTAGTCATTCATTAACATCACATGCTAATTATTTAAACATTGAACTCATGTGGAGTATGGACTGCCCTTTTTGTTGCGTAGGCGGAGAAATTGCGGCCAACATCAGGGTCAAACTCTTCGGGTTGACTGCCGCCTAGACCGCCTGGATCTTCGGCAACGTGGGCGGAATGGAATAATTGATATAAAAATATACTGCAGATTGTATCCATATTATATATATATACACGGCAATGTAGTACAGTATATACGTATATAAATATTCAAAAAATGAGCATAGCATATGTGTATATACATATATATATATATACACGTGTATATATGTATATATCCAATTGTGGTTGAGTATATAATTCTATATATGTAGAGAGAGAGAGAGAGAGACATGAATTGGGAATAGATTATCTAATAATTATATAATCGACTGGTTCCAATGGTTCCAAATATATTGGAGCAGGACTCAGGGCCCCCCATGAGATCACTGGTGGTTTGGAACCAGAACCTCGCCATAAGAATAGGAGCTAAAGATTTGTGCAATCCTAGCTTTGGGGTGTTACAATCTGCTCAGCCTTGAGATGCCTAGGTCTTTGTCTCATCACGATTTCTGAAAAACGCCTTCGGTGATTTTAAAGGAGGTGCCGCAAATTCATTTTGCCGTGTCGATGTGCGTCGGGATCCCGCAGCAGATGGCAAATCATGGATATTTTTACAGCAAATGCAGGGCATCCAGACAGGGTAAAATGAGCTAGAGGAGGTGGGAGCCCGCGTAAAGTGAGGGCTTCAGACGCACTGAAAAATCGATCCCGTTTTGCTGGTCCAGATCTATAGGACTTTCTTTTTGCGTCGCAGCAGCCTTGAACGAAGCCATTGGGTGACATCCACAGTGCTGTTGGTTTCCAACTCAAATGCTGAAGTGGACATACTGTTCTGTATTATTTGTGAGGTGTTTTCGTACTTTCCCATCTGCTTTCAATGATTGAACCTTATTGAAACCAAACAATGCAAAACCCAAGGGATGAGTGGCTAACCATGCAGACGCTTTCGAGACGCAAATTACACATGTTGGTTGATGTTTCGAGATGTTTCGAGAAGTTTTCTCTGAATAGCCATTGAACAGCAAATGATCTCCCTGTATTAAAACCCACATGGAGATTTCTGAAAATGGGCTTACCCCCACATCATCCATTTCAATAGGACTTTCCATTCTAGACCATCCGGCTATTGGGGATGTCCCATGTTAGGAAAGCCCCACATGACAACTCTGCCACGTTTGTGTTGTCGTTGGCTGCCTCTAGTCGCCTCGATCACCAGGGTCGCTGGCAGATGTTAATGAGTGAGGTCCAGAGCGGGGCAGCAGCCACCTTTCTGATGTCTTTGGTTGCGAGGATTGGCCACGCCAATTTCCACCTGAAATTTTTGGTTTACAAAGTTTACACCCAAAATTGGAGCTTATCATTGGGTTTAGCCGTCGGTAATCAAACATGGCAATGGAGAATATCCTATAAACATCTTTAAACAGAATCTATAAATATCTATAAATGATCATAAATGGAGGATAACGGAGATTTACACATGGGTGATTTTCCATTGCCATGTTGCCGAGGTTTTTCCATGCTCGCAACCTTCTCAAGCTCCTTCGCGGATGGTCACAAGAAACCTGATGGGTCAATCTCGGGCATTATACGAACTGGTTTCAATGCTGGATGATGAAATAACATGAAATAGCCAATAATTCATAGATAGATAATATTGGTTGGTAATCAAAAATAGCATGAAATAACCCATAATTAATGATTAATAGAAATATTATGACATATTTACCAAGCAATCAGTATAATGAGATGAGACAAGGGTATTTTTCATGGCTCATTTGGTCTAAAGCATCATGTGTTTCCCTGGTTGCCGGTGGCATTTTTGCCGCGACTTCGAAGAAGCTGCTGCCCCGGACCAGCCCCGGACCTAATCGTAGGATGAAAAACAACCAATCGCCAAGTGCGGATCGAAAAGCTGAAGGCTGAAGCTGATTGTTGGTAGGGAAGGACTATAAGGCTTAGGACATATTTTATGTGCGACGGGTGAAACAAAACTGCAAAACTCAGAATTTTATGTGATCTCACTTAGTTCAATGTTCGACTCTTTGATCCCGCTTTTTTGGGGGCGGATTGGACAGGGTCCAAGTCCTTACGCTTAGAGATCCAAATTACTTCAAGGGGTAAGGTCCCAACTCCAAGCGAGGTGGTCATTTCTTTTAGTCCCAAAGTTCTTCAAAGTCCAGCATCTAACTGCCGGAGCGATTGTCTCCGTCAACTCTCCAAATGGGATGTTTGCTTGATTGAAAGGGCATTTTCTTGGCTCTGAAAAACCATTGATGTCTTTTGCCATGGGTCAAGGGTAATTTGCTTGATGGCGCGGCCCAAAAGCTTGGGTCAAGTTTCATTGAAGCACACCATGAAAAGTAAGGGAATATGGAGATTTAAGCAACAACTTGATGTTTTTTGCTGTTTATTTCGTAGTTAAATTGGTTTATAATCCCATCACCATAAGATCAACTACCCCCAATGTTTGGAACCCCAATTCATGAACAGATCCAATACTCAGGGGGGAATCATTTGGGGATGTTTCATATGCTTGGACATTCACGGATATTCCTTGAGGCCTCTAAGGACTTCCTTGGAGTCGGATGAGAGATGTAATTTGTGAAGGTGATGATTCGGGCCTGATAGATTTATTTATACATAATATATATATATATTATATATACATGTTTTAAAAAATAATCATGCCAGTGGACGCTCTTTTTCAGGGGACCGGATGGTGGGATATTCAAAGTTAGATTGAATTGTTGCGAGTGACTGACATCCTAAATTTTGCCTTTCTGATTCTGATTTGTCGTGGAAAAACAGTTGTTGCAGGTCAAGTATCCAATGAAGTAAAGGTCAACCCCTGAGAACCAAGCCCTTGTTGATCCTTGTTGAGTACTTAGCAAAAACGCGACTCAACTCCTTTCCAATGAGCCCGAGGCGGCGTGGCGAAGGTGACGAAGGTGATTGGTGAGGGATTATGATCCCCAGGCTCAAGGAGTCCACTGTGGCTGGTTCCCCATGGGGAATGCGTCAACTGTCTCTTGAGCAACGCGGGGTTGAATAAGTCATTTCATAGAACAATTCCAAGGCTAACCAAATGTTCACTGGCAGAGTTAACGCCAGCAAGAGAAGTTTTTTAGGAAACATGAACCACCACATATTAGAAACAAGTCCAGACGTATGTTGTCATTCAAATGGCATCATGAGTCAAATAGAGTCAGATAGATAGGATTCAGTGTTTTTTTGTCAGGTGCATCCCAAATTCAATAAAAGCTGGAAGCAAAATATGGCGAGCAATGATGAGATATGTTCATTTCCAGTCCGCTATTGATGTCAACGCCATGCGGAGCTCCTTTCTGCTAGAGGCACCAGTCGCTTCTGTCTTTGACGGATGGCAGACGAAGTGTGAAGCTGACAGTCAGATGGTGATATTTTGGTGTGTCTCGAAATGGAAATACCCACAATGGCAATTTCCATGAATTTCCATGGGGCATTTTCAGACAACCCTTGGATTTTGATGATTTTGGGATTACCAAGTTTGAGACAACCCCAAAGGGTACCCTCAGTCGCGTCTATGAAGGTGACGGTAGATTGGAGCATGGTAAACAGTTGAGGACCTTCCACCTCTCCCTCCTCAATCACCAACCATTCACTGTAGATTGTGTGAACCAGTCACTACTCGAATGAACATCTAAGTGTTTGTTCTCTCCACCTTTTAGAGTAATTATATAATGAGTAAAGCAATCCTTCTGACTGTCGAAGTGTCTGCAAGTTCCGTGCTGTTCATGGCACATGCACGGCACGTGGCATGGGCGGACACAAAGCTGGTGGATGCAGTACTGGTTTTGAACACACAATCATCAATTATTTTGATCAACATTATTATCCCAATCAACTGGGAGAATTACCACCCAAATAAATAATGGATCGATTTTGTTTTGACCGACATTTTTTGGTGTGGCACCGTTTTTATCAACCCTAAAATCTGAACAATACTCAAGCCATGTCGCGATATGTCGCGATCAAGGGGTCATGTCATATATCTCATGATGTTGGCTAAGCGGCAGCAGCCACTGGCCACCAGAAAATGCACCACCAAAAGAGATCTGTTGGCTCCGGCCGCTATCTGTGATGCAGCGAACCAACGCCTGGCGCGGGGGGGAACTTTTACGCAACAAGGCCCAAGGTACATATGGGTACGGGTCAGAATTGAAGGGCATGCGAAGCGCGACTTTTTTGGGTCATTGTTTGTCGATTTTTGGTTTCAACATGTTTCAACCACCAAAGTTCTTGGGATACCATTTTGATCCATACCCATTGGGCTCGACAACTTGCTTCATCTTGATGGCAGATAGCATTGCCCCAAGGACCACAACAATTCAGGGTCATTGTTGCTGACTTGTACCACCTGGTTGTGTATTCGACACTCGTGCAAAGAAATGACCAATTCTTTCCGGGCATCTGCTGGTGCTGGCAGATTCATCTAGCGCTTCACCTTTTAGGCAAATCCAAGCGTTTCAGAAGGACCGTGGATTTGAGACGTTTTTGAAGGGTGGCCTTACCCGGCCATGCGGAAAAAGATGCAGGATACCTTATTGTAGGTGAGAATGGTGGGGGTTCAGCTGGCAGTTGGCGAAATATCCTTTCCATGGATATCTTGGTCCCCCAGGCAAGCCGCAGAAGGGGGGTAAGGCTTGAAGGCATTGCAAAGATTACAAAAACTCGATGTAGAAAGGCATATCAGGCCTCAAACCCCCGACCACAACCTTTTCTCAGATGTTTTTTCGGGTAGAACTTCCAGTTGGCCAGAATCAGTTTCAAGGAACTCCCAGCCGGCCAAACTGAACCCAACTTCTCGCCTTCTGGATCCTTCTGGTGCAATGAGACAACCGTTTGAAGTCCCAAGTTTGATTCAGATATACACGCGCTCGCCATATGGCTGTCTAAAACGGTACATACCACCCCAAATAGGCATATGGACAACGATCATACGCCATATTCAACAACGGTCATACGCCATATTCAATTTCCAAAATTTGTCAGGTAGCAAAGCCATATTCCATCAAAGAATGGTTCACAATATTTTACATTGCTCTACATGACCAAACAATCATATCTTCACAATTAATCAATTAACACCACAATGGTTTTCCCATCATGTCCCAATCATATCCCAACTATATCCCTATAAATCCATTTAATTCCCCAATCAATAGATATCAATAGATATTACTGTAATCATAATCCCATTTGAATCCCATTTAAAAAACACCAGATTTTCAGCCTTTCCCAGAGCCTGGCCACTAAAAAAGCCGCCTTAGACGAAGCCCAGGTCCTGGCTTCGTCTCGGAGGAATGGTCACATGTCCTGGCCTGGGACCTCTTCGTTGGCCGTACCTTGGCGGTTCGTCGAGATGTGGGGCCTGACTTGTCAATGGGAGATCTTGAGGTTTAGATTCGCCCCAATAACTATAGTGATAAATACCGTAAACCATAGTTATTGGAGAATTATATCTATTGGAATTTGAGGATCCAACAGATGGAGGTACTGTACTGTGCCATATTTTTGGCCATATTTTCTGGGGAGATTCCCTGAAATTTAGGCCTAA